GCCCATCAACAAATCCCCACCCTAACACCCCCCCAGAACAAACCACAAAACTGAATACACCATGATCATCACGCGCGGAATCTCCGTAACGAACTTCTTCGTGGCTTCGTCCGCCCTCGCCTTCCAAGTCTTCGTCCTATACCCATGGCACAAACAACTCGATGATGGATTTGAGGCCCTGAAGAAGGAACACCTCCGGGTGCTTAAGACGCTTGAGCAGTTACAGCAGGGGAAGGAGAGGGTTTCGGCTGCGGAGAGGGTTACATCGGCGTGAGGGATAAGTCAGGGTGGAGATGGATGGATAGATGGGCTGGGTTATAGATCTGTTGATAAAGTTATGTTGGTGAATACGTTTATTTTCTATCTAATTCAATTCATGACTAGAGTTCATGTCTAACGGAGTGCTAAGTAGAGGAATGGGTAAAGGTATCGAGGGATAGAGTGTAGCCTGGCAGACATCGGCCAACTATCCGGAAAATCGGAGCGAAGACCGACCTTAGCTTCTGCCAAATGGCAAACACATCCCTGTCGCGTGCGACATCAGGGGGTTCTTCGTTATTCGTTCGGGCCATACAGAAATAGTTCCAGTTCCTATGGGCGGGGGCTTGTGCCCCACTATTTTTATCTCCTCGGAGATGGTTCGTATCTTCGGATCCGAGAGATCTTACCCCAGTCACCACGAAGAAAAAAAAATAAGAATAGATCAATTTAGAAAAGAAGGAGAAAGAAGTGAAGAGAAAGCAATCTACACAGATAGGTCAAGTTAATGCATTGTGTGCATTTGCCATGTGGTTTCTGTACAGTGCTGGGCCTGCTGACTGAGATCACAACTGGTATAGCATGAACCAAGTCTTCCCATTGACGGTGGTATATATTTAGTAGCCATGTCAAGGCAGAATATATATCATGCCATGTGGCCTTCTCTATAACTATTACTAACACTGCCAGCTGGAGATGATACCATATGCCATTCACAAGGTATCAAAAGTCGGGTAATAATAATCGACTACCAATATGGAATGAATATCAGACAGCAAACTTTATCCTCCGCAGTAAGTAAATTATGCATGCACAGCTGACTCATCGGCACCACATGCACCACACGCATCTCCGCATCGCCCGGAATCAACATCCCATCTTATCGCCAACTCCAACTCCACTACTCCTCATGGAAATGGCCAGCCAGAAGCCATGACCGAACCGCACCGGAAACGCTCCCGCGTCGCCTGTACGCTCTGTCAATCCCGCAAGCGCAAATGCTCCGGCGACCAGCCCTGCTCCACCTGCGCCCAGTTTGGCTCCGACTGCCACTATGACCTCCAATCGCGCAGGAAACGCGATGCCCGACTATTCCAGCTACAGTCGGCGCCGACCGATCCCACCACCAGCAATGGAGTCCAGCCTCCATCGAAAGAGGCAAAGATGGTATCGCCCGAGGAGACCGCCGCGCGACTCAGCTCACTCGATGCTAACTCCGGCGCTGCGTTCGCCAGACGACTCGGCCTGAAGGTCGACCCGACGAATGCCCCAAAGATGCATCTTTTCGCATGGAATGTCGGCGCTCGGCATCCACTACCGTCATCTATGCCTCCATCCTTCACGTCGGCGGCTATCCCCGTCGTGGACCTCATCTCCCAGGATGAAATGCGGTCCCTCGTGACCACCTTCTTCGACAAGGTCGACCCCTGCTACGGCTTCATCGACCGCGACCACCTCCTCCGCCAAGTCAGTCGCCGATGGCTCCCATCCACCTACGAATCCACCCTCCCCTACGGCCCCTACGACGCCGTCCTCTGCGGCGTCGCCGCCTTCGGCTACCTCTTCTCCCACCGCCAGGCCAATCCCACAGAACGGCACCTCGCCGAAACCGCCCGTCTCATCCTCGACCAATCCCTCCTCTCCGACACCATCCCCACCGCCGACCTCGTCACTGCATGGGTCCTCCGAGTCGCCTACCTCCGACTCACCGCATCCCCCCACGCCGCCTGGATGGCCAGCTGCTCCCTCATGCACATCATCGAAGCCACCGGCCTGCACCTCGAACTCGCCCCCTCCGACGACAGCGCCATCAACCATCTCCCCGAACCCTGCGACCCCGAAACCCGTCGTCGTCTCTTCGGCATCGCCCGTCACCTGAACGTCTGGATCTCGTTCGAACTCGCACGATCCCGCGTCGTCTTGCACGGCGCGACCTCCCTCCCCCCCACGCCCCGCGTTCCCGGTACCGCTGAGATCTTCACCCTCCTGCCTATGTCGGAGAGTCTCGATCCGAATAAGTCCACTGACTCCCCGGATCTGGAATCCACGCTCCGGAGCGTCCTCGATCAGATCCATATCCTGCCCCAGCTCATCCTCGTCCAATGTAACCTGATGCTCTGCATCTATCGTCGTCTCCGGGCCCTCAACTGCATTATCTCCGGGGATTTGCTGGACCGGGTGCTCGCGCTATCGAGAAAAGGGCTACAGGCGGCGCGGGAGATGGTGGCGTCGACGAGCCCCTGGCATCAGATCGCCAACGTGCCGTTCCAGGTAGTGTGCACGTTACTGGCGATTGACAATCGAGCGTCGTTGGTGATGTTGGGGGATGCGATGCGGACGCTGCGGGAGGTGGCGGCGGCGTATGATACGGAGGTGATGCGCGAGGCGTATAGTACGGCGTATTTGTTGATTCTGTTGCATCAGCGACGGAAGGAGGAGGATACGAAGGCGTTGATGGATGTGTTGAAGGTGAATTCCGGGGGGTCCTCTGTCCCGCGGAGAGAGGAAGAGCAGGAGACGTCTACGGAGCCGCATCATTCGCTGGCGGATTACCCGGGCTTCTCGTGGTTGAGTGATCTGCTCATTGATATTCCTAGTTTGGGCAATTTCGATATGGAGCGGTTTATGTACACGGATGCTTGGCCGGAGGGGGTTTGATGTGCATCGCTCGTGGCTACGGGGTGGATTACTGTGATTTCTTCTCCTTGGTGGGCCTCGGGCTGCCGGATCGCGCTACCACGCCCAGCTTCCATAGCACCCATAGCAGCCCGAGGATGATGGCAGCCACTGTGCCTAGTTCCACGGCCTTGCTGTGGAAGATCCCATCCTTGTCTAAATGGAGCACCGGCACATCCAGATCTTCCACACGGCGGGCTGTCGCTCCGTCGGGATTCACCTGGTAGAACATGGTGCGGGGGCCGAACAGGCCATCCCAGCCCAGATGGATGCGATCAAATGGGTTGACCCCCATTTTGGTACCCCCTTCTGCCGTGCAGGCCCAGAAGACCACGGGCCACGGCACCCCGGCCGTGCGGTACCCGGTCTCCGACGGCCGGAGATACCGCAGATGCAGGGGGACGGTGACGTTCCACTCCTCGGGGAGGTCCGTCGGGGTCGCCAGCTCGAGCAACCAGTTCGAGCCCCAGTGCGACACGAACCAATCGGGGGCTTCTAGATCCGTGGCCCCGCTCACGGCCCGCAGAGCCACCAGATGATGCGAGTCCAGGAAGAGCGGATCGGTCGTGGACAGTTGATACTTGTCGCCGAAGATGTACGACGGCAGCGTCAGATACGCGTGCAGCGCGCAGGTGGTATCCTCAGGGGCCGCGGGATACTCCAAGGCGGCGGGGGACAGCGAGATGGTCATGGTGGGGTGCATGCCGGTGGGCTGGGGGAAGGAGACAGAGAAGGTAGCCTGAGGAGGGAGGACATGGTGTCTGGAGGGGAAAGAAAACAGCGTGGGTTCTAATCCGTTAGCCCAACCCAGCAAAGGGGAAACAAGGGACATACTTAGGGCTTCATCAACCCCGACAACGCCTAGCAATCCACCCATTTTGATCTCCTCTGCCTCGACTGCTTTCTCCGTCCCAAGTAATCCCACCTCTACCCGGTCACGGTTATTGCTAGGCGCGCGGATCTCCTCCGTCCACCCATCTGCATTGTCTGGCTGGCTCCAGTATCCAGAGACGATTAGGGTACCAGATACCACATCGTAATCGAGATCGATCGAATCCGCGCGGTCCCATCCGGCTGTTGCGCAGGGGCCGTCCCCACGACAGATGTTTGTGATGTATTCATTTAGGGTATGTTCCGGCAGGGCAGTATAGAATTGGTATGTGGAGGATTGGGAGGTAAATGATTCCTTGAGACGTTAGTATGTCTAAAACCTCAGGGAAGAAGACAGAAGACGGACCGTGTAATTCTCACACTGGATGATTTTATCAAATAGCTGGCGTAAGAGGCGACAGATTCCTTCCCTAAGCCATATAATAGTCAGCCACTTCATGTTCCAATCCATGCTCCCACCAATCCTCCATTGTCCATCCACACGATATCATTCTCACAAACTCATAGGAGGACAGCCAAGAAAACTCACCCTTTCTCTTCACTTCCCTCCAGACCATCCCGAGGGGTATATCCAACATGCAACCCCGCCGAAACACGACTCCCAAACGGATCGACTTTCAACCCCGTCCCAGCTCCAGCATTCGCCCATCGGATATGAATCTCGCGTGCACTGTTCAAAACATCCCTCACCTACCACACTCGTATCCCATCATTAGCAAATCTCCACATCCACATCCACATCCATAAACAAATCAAACCAGCTCAATCAATCAACCAAACAAGCAAGTAAACAGCCCACCCAACAACCAGAACAAACAAACCAGAATAGGATAGGATAGGATAGGATAGGATAGAATAAACATACCAACTCATCCCCAGTCTCATCCCCACCAACCGTAACCCTCACCTCCTTCGCCGCCTCCAGCTCCCGAATCCGGAGTGCCTCTTTCTCGAGGATGGCTTGTTCGGCGCTGAATGGCGAACTGCGTGGTTGGAGGTAGGTTATTCTTGTTTTCATTTTCTCTTTTTACTCCCTTTTTCCTTTTTGTGTTGGTGGGGAGATAGAATATATCGATGATGGGATGGAGGGAGGAAGGTATAGGAGGTAGATTTGGTGGTGATGAATGAGTGGTGTGTATTGTGTTGTGTTGAGTATAAGGAGGGAGGTAGGTAGGTGGATGCGGAGATGATGGAGATGGATGGAGCTTAGTTGGAGCTGGCAGCTTGATTGAATGCTCAGGACCTCGGGACGGGAACTTGGCGGTGAGGGTTATCGGATTGGTATCGATAGGACGTATCTTATCGATAAGGGTCTGCTTCATGTTGGGTGGGTGATAAGATAAGCTCTCTCTTTCCCCCTCTCTACGGCATACGAACTACGTATCGAACAAGAGCAAGTAATATTTTATTCATACCTAACACGCCCAACGCCACAATGCTAACCCAACTCAACTGGGAATGGGAATGGGAATCGGAATCAATAAGAATAGGATATACGATAACTGCTCCGCTGCTTCACGGTAGCACATCCTTCAGAATGTCTTTCTGCGAGGCACTCAGACTCGCCGGGAATCGCACATTCACTCGTACCAGTAGGTCACCCCGTTCGCTGGGCTTCTTCGAAATCGTCATGCCCAAGCCTGGGAATCGCTCTTCGTGGCCTGGGTGTGTTGGCCCGGGCTTGGATACTCGGATGGATTTGCCGTCAATCGTGCGCACGATGCGCTCCCAGCCCGTGAGGGCCTCCTTGAGACTGATTTCGACGGTCGTGACGAGGTTGTCGCCTTGGCGTTTGAAGTTGGGATGTTCGCGCTGCTGCTGTTAGTATCCAAGGAGAAAAGAGAGAGAGTAGGATAGAGTGGGGAAGTCATACCTCCGTCACAATCAAATGCACATCCTGGCGACCACCCTCCTCCTGATCGCCCACGCCCCGGTACTTGATCTTCGAGCCCGTCCGCAACCCCGGCTTGATGTTGGCCTCCAGGGTCACATCCTGTACCGTGCGCTTGCCGCTCGCATCAAACGTCTTGCTCTTCACCGACACCTTCTTCGTCGTGCCACGCATCAGCTCCTCCAACGTCAGCGGCAGCTCCTTCTCCATGACCGTCGGCTCCGGCGTCGGTGCCCGCTGCGCCGACTGCTTGAATCCGCTGGGCCCGCGACTATTCCGGAATCCCCGACCGCCGCCGAGCCCGCCGTTCAGCATCGAAAATATATCATCTTCTTCCATGCCTCCCATGCCACTCCCCATGCCGCCCTTGGCAAAGTTCCGGAAGATATCGTCCGCATTACTGAACCGGAACCCGCTGCCGCCACCGCCAGGGCCCGTCGAGAAATGGAATGTTCGGGTGCCGCCGCCGCCTCCACCGGGCATGCCACCGAAGGAGAACCCGCCCGGCATGCCACCGTCGAAGGGGTTGGGGCCGTCAGCCCCGGCGCTGGCGGGCGGGGGACCGCCCCGGAGGAGGTATTCCAGGCCGAATTGGTCGTAGACTTTACGTTTCTCGGGGTCGGAGAGGACTTCGTATGCTTGGGATACATCTAGAGGGATTAGCATGATCGGTCATAGAATATAATGGTATGTACATACCTTTGAATTTCTCCGACGCGGTCGGGTTATCCTTGTTCTTATCAGGGTGGTACTTCAGCGCTGCCTTGCGGTACGCCTTCTTGATCTCGTCCTGCGAGGCATCGGGCTTGATGGAGAGAGCGTCGTATAGCTTCGTTTCTGCAACCATTGTGAAGGCGATACGGATCGTTCCAGTATACAATCAAAGTCGAATGATCAATCGAATGGTGGTACGGCGCGCGAATTGAATCCAGTCACCATATAAGCACGGGGATGGGAAGGGTCTCGTGGAGGGGAGGGGAATCTCGAATGACGTAGAAGGTTCACTGCGGTCGCCGATCGGAACTAGTGAATCGAACGTATCTCAACGGGAATACCAGTGGAGAGAATCGGAATCAAGACATCTAGGCCGGTGAAAGGGGGTACTCGGAAATGCTCACGGGGTGAGGGAGCAGGTGGACGACTGATGTATGTGCGTTGCTCCGGCGGCTTTCAGGTGAGCCTGCGGTGACGTGTGACGTTGACCGCACGCTCGACCAATCGAAGGTTCGAGAAGGTTCGATGAGTCTGAAGAGGGGGTGGTGCTGGCACGGTCGTATGATTGCGCTGCAAACAGCTGGAAAAGAGTTCCTGCAGGTATCAGAGGACATTTGATATCCAGCTGGGGGGTTTATTGTGCTGCTGCTGCGTCTGGTGCTGTCGCGATGTGGTCACGTGACGACACGTGCCATGATACTCGGTGCGAGATTACAGAGGGTAGACTATGGCTTATATAGACAGCTGTACGGGCTATTGGATGTTGCCTGTAGAGTGAAAGTCCAATTTACAGGAGATGCGCCTGACATCACCTGATATATAGTCTAATGCATGCTGACTGGTGGTCGCACGGTATCTCGCGACAACTTGAAGCTATCAAAGATGTCATCTGTCATGTGACCGTCGTCTACCATTTGATCCATGGCCTTTTCCGTGATACTCGCATCATTCCACCACAATCCAATCCTTCACCACCGCAGTCCCATTCACCACAGCCTCCCGCTGCTCCTCCGTACAAGTACTCTCCATGGTCAACAAATAACACGTCGGCGCGGGACTCTCCGGCACCTCGTTGGTAACATTCCACGTCGACGACGGCCCCTCACTGGCATAGCTCCCATTGCGGGCCGTGTTGATCCTCCCCGTCGCCAGATCCCGATTAAACTGGACCCGATTAAAGATCTCATACGCCGTCTGGGGCTGATAGAACGGCACCTCGTGGCCCGCCTGGAAGACGCGCGTGAACGAAAAGTTCCCATACTGCCGCACCATGCCCCCAACATACGAGGCATTCGTCTGCACCTCGGCGTACCCAGCAGCCCGGAACTTCTCCTGGTCCACATAATCCACCTGCAAACTGACATCCTCGCCCCCGTTCCACGGACACGCGTAGTCCCGGTCCCCATACACCAGAGCCACCTTGATGCCCGAGTCCAGCAAGTAGCCGAGATCGCCCACCAGACCACGGAGATCCGAGCGAGGGTAATCGCCGGTGGTATGGAAACTCGCGTAGACATTCTCCGCCGACATGGTGAAGTTGATCGGAACCCCCAGCGCGCTCTGCACCCAGGGCTGATTCAGATATCCCACGTAGTATGGGAGGAGGAACGAGTCGGGGTTGAAATGCGCGAAATCATAGTATCCCCGGCCCGAGAAATTCGTAAACGGACCCTTGATCTCATCCAGACAGTATCGGGACGCATCCTCGCAGATGCGATTCACCGTCTCATTATCCCCATACATCAAGGGATCGCCCACTGCTTCCACCTCTCGACACTCCAGAATCATATCCCGGCACCCACCAGGCTTGCTCCAGTCATGCATCGCCTTCTCATACACCGTCTTATTGATCCCCTCAATCCCATACGTATTATTATACGCGATATTCGGAAACGACGGCATCTGAATCAACAGATCCACACACCCATTAATAATCCCCAACGTATCCAAATGAATCGCATGTCCTTCCACCGTCCCCTCATCAATCCTCTCATTCTGCTCCTGAAAAAAAGCCGTAAACGCCGGTCCATACCTCCCCCCATACGACTCCGTCCAGAGACTCACCCGGTCATCAAGCGGCCGATACTCAGGAAACTCAGCGAACCACGTCTGCGCGAACAGCCACAGCGCGCGCGCCGAATTCCCCGTACTATTCGTAGTAGCTTGCACTTCCTGACTGGGGAATGTACCCACATAGAACGTATTATTCTGCTCCGGCACGACGTCGTCCTCCCAGGACGCGACATTCAACACCTCCGTGAGCTGGTCATACGTGCCATTGGTAGGCACATCATAGCTGAACCCGACCTGGTTCGGCTGATCGATGTACAGCATATTGGCATAGTTATTCCACGAGTAGGGGTTCGATTCGGTGGAGTTCGAGTCCGGGTTCACCACGCAGGGACCGTTCTCCTGCAGCAGGCCGATCATGGAGGATCCGCCGGGGCCGCCATTCATCCAGATGGATAGTGGTGCATTGTGAGGATTATTCCGCGACTCGAAGAACCAGAAAAAGGTGTTGATGGGATAATCCTGGGCGATGCCGAGGGCATTGAGGGTTCCGGGGGGAAGATGCACGTAGCCCGAGTAGGATTTGACCCCGGGCGTGGTTTCGCAGATGCCGGGCTGGTAGAGTCACAATTAGAATGACGATCCCATTGTGAATGGATGAGGTAGTGACCTCACTCACCTCTTTGTAGGAAATCGTCACCCCCTCGTAATGCTTCGAATGCACGACTTTCAATCCCCCCGGCGTGGGCGGGAAATACTGGCCCGCGACAGCCCCAGCCCCGGCCAACACGGCCACCACAGTTGCAAGGAAAGGCATGACCAGTCGCGGGGAACTTTCTTTGTTCTGGGAACAAACAAAGCCGAAGGACTTAGTTAAATATGGCGGCCTGGGTGGTGTACACTAGCTTCTGATAACGCCATGGCCTATCGGACAACGCTAAGCCCCGGCTAATCGCCGTGTCACGATACATAATCGACTCTCGATCATCCCTGCGATCGTCGATGGCTCCACCGGTGCTTGCTGACTGGAGCTGTCTTGTCGGGCCCGAGTTTATTTACCTGTCAATGCTCCCGCGACTAAACCTTGATGAAAGGCATGGTCTGATGTTGACTGGTCGGGCGTGTAATGATGTAGGTGGCTCAGTTGGAAATCGGACCAACGCTTTGGTTGCTTGGCTAATGGCAGGCTAATTGGCAGAGGCCAAATCAGGAATACTAATTGCATCAACGACTCATTGACTAGAATAACAAAAAAAGGGATATATTGACAACTGTCGTTGCCTTCGCATCTGTACCATCATCCCAGTATCCAACCGAGACGCCCAGGTATCCATGCATGTCCAAACCAACAACACGCTAAGGCTAACATTACAATCACACAAATAAACAGGAGCCGAGACTCTGCATAACAGCCGAAACCGGTTCATCAACAAGATGCCAGAATATATATACAAGAAGGGTAATACCATGACGGGACACGCTCATGCAGCTTGGGGGTGAACTGCATGGATGACGTCTTTGTCAGCAGTGACGGTTTTCGTGGGCGCCAGCTCATTGTCCGAGTTGGACAAAGGCCAGTCCTCGGGCTCACGGATGCGGGTGGTGGTGCTCTCGTCAGACGACTCGTGTCCCTTGACCTCAATCTCGGATGCCACGTCCGAGTCGTGCACACTGGAGACGCTGTGGAACTCCTCCCGGTCTGGGGACAGCTTGTTTGACGATTCCGGGGCACCCGCGGAGGACAAGTCACTATCCGAATCGTTGTGCTTGCGATAGAGAGCCACCTCGGTGAAACCATAGGTGTGTCCCGGGCTCGACGCCACGGACCGCCGGCGACTGTAGGAGTAAGGGATAGAGGTGGGTGAGTTGGGAGTCGAGCTCGAGAAGGAGACTGGCGTCCGCTGGGGGTTCCTCGGCGGCAGGGTCGGGGGAAGGCGTTTGGGGATCGTCACCAGCCGGGCACGGGTAAAGGTAGGAGACTGGCGCTTGAGTTCCGGAGGGATCGTGGCGTCTTCAGCGAAGACGGGGGAATGGGCGGCACTCTCGCGCTTCGAGACCGTGGCACTGCTGACTTCGTGCACCTCCACATCGTCATCCACCACGTCATCGTCATTCTGCACATGATACTCGTCCTGTTCCGGGATCACTGTGTCCCAGCGAGCCTCCTCACTGTCCCACGGACTGGTTTCAGCGCGATCCGAGACGTCCCGGTAGCTCCGGGAAGAGGTGCGGCTGATGGAGGTCGGGGCGGTCGTGGGACCGTCATCGGTTTGAGTACCTCGGTCCATACTGGCGTAGCTCTGCACGCTCGCTCGCCAGCTATTGCGTGGGGAGCTATCGGTGCTGCGTCGGAAGGTCGAATAGACCGGGCTGTTAGGGCTCGGTTTGAATTCGAAAACGTCCTGAGATGGTCTGCTCTTCGATCCAGCTTCGCGAATGAAGAGACCCTCGGCCTCCAGAGCCTTGACCCCGAATGGGTCGGGATCCTCCGGGTCAGGAATGCCAAACGAGGGTGTAGCCCCGAGATCAACATCTCCGGGGGTCTCGCCTGGAGGGAGCAGATTCTCATCCACAGGGTTACCCTCCGCCGCCTTGACGGTATTGAGGAGGGTCTGGATCGCGGCGGGAGGATGTCTGGCCTTGCCCGCGAGAATGTCACTGACCGAGATGCGCTCGCCGAAGAACCGCTCATTCTCATCGCTCCGCTCGATGATGATGGTGCCATCCACTTGCACGCCAGCATACAGACCACGGCTCTTCATGTAGGTCCAAATGGGGGCTTGCCGCTTGTGCACCTCCGAGTCAAGGACGCCCCCCATGCCGACAGGTCCGGCCGCGGCGCTGACTTCGCCACCCAATGTGCAGCGCACCTTTTTGAAGGCCTCCAAAGCCTCATAGGTATTTATGACGACCACACAGTCGTAAATATCCACACCGGCCAGAAACCCAATACCAGCAGTATGGAGCATGATGCCGGAGGGAGGACTCCATTCATTTGTTTCGGGGATGCGCGCCAGAAGCACGCCACTGCCACCCGAGCCACTGACCCAGAGACCAGTGCGCATGGTGGTGAAGATGGCGAGACCTTTGGCCCGCTGGATGACCCGGGCGGGGATCTTCTTCAACACTCGTTGTTTGCCCTTGGGACGATCCAGCTTGCCGGATTGCTTGCTAATCGAGCTGTCGGTGCTTTGCCGGTCGGCGTCGTCGTTGGCGTAGAAACCATCTTTGCAGAAACTGCGCAGGATGCGCGCAGCTTTATCGCTTTCTTTATCGAGGGTCATGGGCCAAAAGGCCTCGGCGCCGACCCGATGTGAGAGGCGGTTGACAGGATCGCCTAGTTTATCGAGAGTGTGCCATGCCTTATCGAAGCCTTTCTTGGAGGTCCCTTTGGTCCTCTCCCAAAAGGTGGAGGGCATGGTGGCGAGTCAGTCCCGCGAGGAATTCTGAGCTCACCAGAGTATGACAGGACTGGGTCTGCAGTTGGGGGTAGGAGAGGAAGTCTATAATGACTGGGGGCCGTAGCTGGTGGACGAAGACGGCCAGCAGTCAACGAGGGTTGCCCAATGCGGGAGGAATGTACACAGAGGCAGGAAAAGATGCAACTGAAGCTTGGGTGACAACCGTGGCATGCGGGTCCGGAGGAGGAATGCAGCAACTATATGCGCAGAAGATTAGTGATCTGGGGAGAGCAGCGAGGGTGATATAACGGTCGGCCAGCTTTGAGGAATTCTCCGTGCTAGCCGTGGTCCAGACTCATCCCCAGTTGGGTGGCGAGCAACTGGCAGCGCCGACATACGAGCGCGAGGAGGGGAACCGTGGAACGGGCAAATGGGATCGGGGCGGCTTACCTGTCCGGCTGAGCCTCGCCAGGGCCGACAGGAGATTGACCAGAGACCACAGGACGAGATGAAACCGCTTCTAATTTCCGTTGACAGCAGAACAGACACCCGGTTTATGTAGGAGTAAGTAGGAGGCACAGCAGGTCACAGCAGGAGGCAGGAAACCCCAGAGTGGAGCGATCGACCGTAGCCCCGTCGGTAAATCAGAAGAGGTGCTAAAGCCAAAGGGTCAGAGGCTAGAGAGGTGGGCGGATGTACGACACCAGGCTAATGCAGTGACGAGACGAGGGAGAAAAAGCAAGCAGCAGGAGATGGAATCAAATCATGGAAGACCAAGACGGGGCGAGGGGCATTCATCCTATTAAATGGATGCGACCAGGCACGGATTCAACCCGGCTGGGTCGGAAAGCATGGTTGGACTGGGTGGACGGGTTGGAGGGGAGTGGCTGGCCGGAGAGCCGAATGTCAGGCTGAACAGATGACGACCGAGAGAGCCGGGGAAGTCAAGTTCTTGACTTGTGAGGAAGAAGAAGTGGTCCATCCGGATGCATGGCATCATTTGGCAGCGCAGCGCAGCGTCATCGTCATCGCGCCGCCGATAAGCCGATCGGATCAGATCCGGATCTATCTTTTCCCTTCACCTCTCCCATAGTCCTTTTCCTTCCTCTTCCTTTCTTCTATTACTTCGCATCTCTTCTTCTTCTATCTCTGTATACAGAATCATCATCACTCCACTGAAAAATTCTAGAAACAAATGCCCAACGGGGCACAGCGTCATCTGCCTACCCGATCCACTAATCCACGATGGAGCCCAGAGACCCTCAGCTAGTCAGTTACCGTCCTAGTCTCACGGTAGCCTAATTGATCTGTGAATTAATTTAATCCATCCCATTTATCTTATTTTATTTCCTTCATCCCATCAACGAAACGAATTGATCAGAAAAAAAATTATTAAACTTCCACTAGATCCGTTTGAAATTTCCCCCTCTTCTCCTCCCATCCCTGCGTCCCAAGGGATGTATCAACTTCCTCCCCGACGAATATGACAGATCCAATCGCTTGTTCTTCACGCTTCAGCCCCAGCCAGCCTGGCCCTGGTTGGATCCATGGATCGAGCCCCGGGCCCCTGGCTTCCCCTCGCTTCACTTGACCTGTTGGTTCGGCAGAAAATTCTGTGCATAGCCTACGCTGTAGCTTGAGTGGTACAGTAACTGAGAAGAAGTCATTGGTAGGTCGATGGAGAGTACGCCGTACGGAGTAAATCCATCCATCCGAACGAACACCCGATCCTATCTACAAGATAGTTCCAAAGTCCCTGACATGTCCGATTCTCTTTCCCCGATTGAGATCGTCCCACACGGCTTGGATTTCCGTTTTTATCTAACTCAGTCTCCTCCGTCCTGTTCCTGTCCTGTCCCTGTGCTCCGTACTCTGGATGTTGTTGGCCGCGTTGCTCGGGATACTCCCTCATTTCTTCCCCTTCTTCTCAAACCCCGAAAACAAACCCATCCCGAAACAAAGTATACCTAAAATAAAATAAAGTAAATTAAACGGAGGTGGCTTATCCCATGCCATTGTCCACACAAACAGAACAATAAAAAGTATATCCTACATAAAGTATAGCCTTTCGCTTCCCGTCAATTTCAAGGTTGGTCAGTCAGTCACTTGACTCGTCCAATCCTGTCCGGCTAAGCACCCCGTGACTATCCCTAGTAAATTACTTTATCGGTGGTAGTTAGTATGTATCCCGAACTTAGTTTTCCCATGTGCGAGGGAAACGATGCAGAGTGAAAATTTTTACAAGATGGAGGGATGAGGGTGTTGGATATATCATATGCCACACGGTGGACGTGTGATGGAATGGATGGACGGGGCACGAGGATTGTGATTGCCATTGTGATGCGGTTATTGCGGTTGGTTTTTACGTATTACGTACTATCATCTAACTTATGTGCTTGCTGTACTCTGTATAGGAATATAATATCTGGGATATAATAGAGACTACTTAGGAAGAGGTAGTTAGAGTAAGTCGGTTGTTTCATCGCCCTCACATCACTACTATGATAGACAGCACAGCCCGCTTCCCGCTTCCCGACTTCCGAACGAACATCAAACATTCCATAATCCCTGCCTGACTGACTGACACTTGAAACATCACAGCACTATCCCTGTTCTTACTACTACCTACCTACCTACCTACCTACTAACTTATGAGCATAGTTAGGTGGTTAAACTAGCTATTCTTAGACAAGGCAACTCACCCATCCATCCATCCCTCCCTCCCATTCGACGATCCTAATCCTACCCTACCTTATCCCCATACCATCTATCTACCTAGCAATCTAGCAAACACACTAAGTAGTAACGTATACGCACCTAGTCCCACTAGCCCGATAGCTTACGGAGTAGTATCTAGCTAGCTCGCTCCCCCCGATCACACCTGATAGATAGTACTACTAATCAGAGGTAAGAGAGTATGAACCAACCGGAATAGACATACATGTTCCGCGGATCGAGTGTAGTTCGCAGGACGCAGGTCGCAGTTCGTAGTTCGTACGAGGAACCATCCGTGCCGGATATGATGTATCGGATTGAGGTGCGTTTTGTGTCGTTGAGGGAGGAAACTTAACTTACTGCCTAGGGGGATGCTGGGGCTCGTGGTTGTCGTGCGGTGGGGGTAAGGGTACGGTTTATTTGCTTAGTACTTATTTACTTGGGGTATACTATGAGTAGGTGTATACTGTTCTCTTGTGCTTGGTGCTGCGATGAAATATAGACATCGGTATGGCTCACCATCACATAGTCTAGTTACGAACTACTGGATAACAACCGACCCATCCTAGAGCGTGCAGATGCTAGCACGGTGTTCGAGTTAGTCGCTCTTCCGATTCGTGTTCCTGGTCATGGGTCCAGCGCCGCGGATCCGGTGCCGGACTAGTGCGTGCCAGCTGGATGCCAAATGAGGCAGTACTCCACGGGGTTGTGCTACGGTTGGACGAGTGGAAGTCGGGCAATCGCCAGATAGAGTTAGGCATGGAATCAAGCATACACGTCAGGATTATGATCCGCAGAGTTAAAAGTCCAGCTGACACCGGACGTCTAGTCGTAAACATACACAGTACCTATCCATCCGCTCCACCTTACAGAGCACCCAGCTCCTTCAGCTTGCCGATCAATCCATCGACATTCTCGACCTTGCCGCCTCCCTGGCGCGCCGGGGGTTCTGGACGGTTAGTCTGGAACGATACGTAGAGGAAAGATAAACTCACCAGTCACCTTGAGGGTCTTCAGACGTCTCTTGTCCTCCACCCCGAAATCCGCCAGCGTCTTCTTCTCCAAAGGCTTCTTCTTGGCCTTCATGATGTTGGGCAGCGTAGCATAGCGCGGCGTGTTCAACCGCAAGTCCGTAGTCACCACCAGGGGCAACTTGGCCCGCAGCGTCTCGACACCACCGTCCACCTCATGCGTCACCTCCACCGTGCCATCCGCATCCTTGATCTCGACCTTGCTTGCCTGTGTTGCCTGAGGCCATCCCAGCAGACCCGCCAGCATCTGGCCCGTCTGACCCTGGTCACCATCAATCGCCTGCTTGCCCAGCAGCACCAGGTTGATGTTCTCGGACTTGACCACACCCTGCAGCATCTTGGCGATCGTCAGGGGCTCGGGGCCGCCATCGGCGCTGTCGCCCACGTCAACGTGGAATGCGCGGTCGGCACCCATGGCCATGGCCGTGCGGAGAGTATCGGCGCACTTGGCTCCGCCAGCGGAGAGGGCGAGGATGTTGTCGACCTTCATGGGGCTCTGGTTCTTGGCGCCGGATTCGCGCAGACGGATGGCTTCTTCGACGGAGATTTCGTCGAACGGGTTGAGGGAGTGCTTGACACCGGCGGTTTCGACGCCGGTGTTGGCCTTGTTGACGCGGGGTTTGACCTGTGTGGATTAGATTCCATTGTCTGACAGGTTCTACCGTGCAGATAGGTGGCGAGTAGTGACTGCGACGGAGATCAAGGACAGGCGTGCGGCCTTCGTTCCGGGAATGACTCTTCACCGAAGCCGGAGCAGGCGACCAAAACTCACCGCATAGTCAATCACCCGCTTCACGGGGACAAGGATTCGCAAACCACTGGCCATATTGATTGTGGTGCTGGGATGTTTAACAAGGAGTCAATGGAGGGGCGGAGTGTCGTGAGGGGAATCAACACTTTAAGGCGAGCAGAGGGAAGAGACCGATCCGTCGGAGCAGCTGCCATCCGCGGCAGAAAGCAGGTGACTTGGGCGGAGAGCCCGAGCGGGCCGAGAAGGCCAACCACCGCCGTGCCTCTCCCGCCTCCAGCCGAGGTTAGCCAGCCTACATAGTACATAATTGTCTAGGTCGGGGAACAGAATGACCTCATGAATCGCTACTATATTAGTAGATGAGGCTAGTTTAGTCTATCCGCGCAGATCGAATGATTCGCTATCTATGCATGTCGGCATAATCACATGTGATCGCGGATCACCAGGTTTCCTGCTTGTACCGTCCCGTCTTCTCCATGCCAAGCAGATACTGCTCAGCGCCTTGTTCGTTGAACCGGTCCGTTTCGACCTCTGCACCATGCTGGAAGGCTTCTGTCAGCGCCTCCCGCACGGCCTTGGGCATCTGCCCGGACGATCCGCATATATACACCGATCCCGCCATGTCGTGCAGTAGCTTGAAGAGCAGCGCATAGTTCTGCCGGATCACGTCTTGTACATAGACTTTGGACTTTTGGTCTCGAGAGAATGCAGTCAGGACATTCAATTTGATTAGCTTGCCCAGCTGTTGCCATTCTTCCTCGAAGAAAAAGTCCGCGTCTCGGTTGCGTCCGCCGTAGAGCAGCAGCGTCGGGCCGATCGAGAGCTCCACCCCGGGATTTTCCTGCTGATACGCCTTGATGATAGCAGCTTTCTCCCAGAGCATAGATCGTAGTGGTGCCAGACCGGTGCCGGGACCGATCAGGACCGTCGGCCCAACGAGCTGGTTGACGGAGGAGTTGAGTCCTCCCCGCTGCAGCTGTACCTTGAGAGTGCTTCCGGGTCGAAGTGCTGAGATGTAGCGTGTACAGACGCCCTGTCGGATCTTCTTGATCACGGTTTGATACTTGACAATGGCAATGAGCAGCTCAAACTTGGTACCGCCTTCCGCACTCTTCAGCTCGCCACCACTGGCAATGCTAAACTGTCTGCCTTTGAAGATCGGGAATACCGAGACCGCATGTTGCCACGGAACCTTGACTGTATCGAATTCGTGCAGTACTTCCAAAATACTACGTCTCGGACGGGTCGTATAGTCCCACAGTTCATCCAAATACTCCGGACTGGTGTTGGTGAATTCGAGCAGGCGCTCCTTGTGCATTTCATCGCTCGTATAGTGGGCAATCTGTGCAAAGAAGGACCGGCGGGGGATAGCCTGGATGTCGAGATAATCTGCGAGAAGGGCGCGCAGTGTTAACTGCGGATATGCCGCCAGGCCATGGATCGGGGGAGCAGGGAGGTCGTCTGCAGGAATATGGCTGTTAGGGACCAACGAAACCAGCTGATCAGCCTGCTCCTCCCAACCCATCATCTGGATCAGGGCATTGACGTCGCTCGAGAAGTTCTTCGGTGTAATGCAGATCATATCCCCAGGAACATAGGAGGCATGTTCGGGAACCGTAAGCGACACATGGCGCACATCCTGCCAATGTGTCGACGGCGTCAATCGCTTGTTCTCTGTGAGCGTTGCCGTCAGCGTGTCAGGCAATGGACGCAGATCATGATCCAGTCGAGTCAACTTTGGAAATTCATCCGGCGCAGGCTGATACTCCTGATACCCAGGAACGGTCTCCCCTTTTACTTGCCCCGTGCCCTGCTCCTGTAACGTCAAGACCCATTTCGGCGGCAACTGAACATCATCCGGTATCGGATCCAGCCCCGAAGGCAGCGGATATGTCTCGAGCAGATGTGTGCGCAGATCCGTCAGCCACGGAATCAAAGTCCCCTCAAGCCTACACCAGTTAGCCCATACACCCACTCAGATCTGGATCAGTATACCACCCACCCCTCAGGATGTTGCTGATCGCCCTCCCCAGCACGATATATCTCATTGGCACCCAGCTGCACCAACCGCTTATGCAACTTGCGCGCCGCCCAATTGAACCTACCCAGTCAGTCTCATCTCAACCAAGCAAATCCCAAAATCAAACATACTTCGGATACGAACTATCCCCCAACCCAAACGACGCAAAATTCACCCCCTCCAAAAACGTCGCCGGCAACCTCTTCAACAACAACGACCGCCAAAACGTCCTCGCATTAGCCGGAAAATCACCCTGACCGGTCGTCGCAACCACAAACAGAACCAGCGTGTACGAGTTCAGTACTTCCTACGCTACATCGTCAGCATTGGTGAGACATTGCGCCACGGGAAGGGGGGGAGGGGGAGGGGGTATACCGGCTTGTACTGATTCAGTTCGGCCACATGGGTTCGGAAATGGAGACGCTCGGCCAATGCCCCTAGCTCTTCCGCTACCTCTTGCGAATTGCCGGTTTCTGAACCATAGAGCACGAGGGCGGAGCGTCGTGGCGCTGGTTGCGTGCCGTTCATGCTGTAGGGCTGTGGTCGCGGTGCTGCTGTCACGGCGGCCAGTGGCTTATCGTTCCGGGTCCGTTTTTTACCCCTCGTTGACGGGACCAGTTGGCGGAGAACTGACGTCATCCGATTGGTCCATACGCAGACTACGGAGTACTACTACTACAGATACGGAGTATAAAATCCCAATGTCAACTTGATAGTTGAATACAGCGTACCATGCATCCATGATCAGCCAGCTAGACACTACTACAGTCCACACCTCATCACTCGCATGCTGATATACAGCGAATAACTAATCAGCCCGCTCAGATTGATAGATCAATGACAACAACAGCAAAGGGTATCTCAGAAATGCAGCCCTACATCTAATACGTATCCTCATCACCGCCACCACCGCCATCCCCAAATCCATCATCCCCATACTCATCATCACCACCATCAAAGTACTGCTCGGCGTTATAATCCCCGCCCATCTCATCATCATCGTCCTCAAAGTCATCATCCTCGATTTCCTCCTCCCCTTGTCCCTCTTCCTCCTCATCCAGAATATCCCCTTCCCCATCATCATCCCCCTCCGCCCCTTCACCCTCCTCCCCAGTCTTCGTCCGCTTGGCCGTCTCCTCATCCTCTTCTTCCTCATCATCCTCAAATCCACGCTTCACCCCCGCCCGCGCTCCCTGCGGAACATACCCATCCATAGCAGCATCGGGCTTGAAACTCGGCTGAATCGTACCCCACAATTCCCTAGGGAAGAACTTCATCACTATACCGACACCATTAGCACGATGTCCAAACAACAACCCATCCCCTCCCTTCCCCTCCCCACTTGCCCCCCCCCACCAACCCAAAGACCAGAAGAAAGAAAAAAGAAACATACCATACTGCCTCCCCAAAATCCTCGGCAAAGCCCTCTTCTTCTTGACATACTTGCCCGAATAACTCGGCATGCCATGAAACGGATCAAACGATGCCCGGGCCGCACTATCCTTCTTACTTGCCGACGCGGCGCCCTCCAGAATCGAATAATACGGGCCATCGTGGAATCGTTCCCGAAGCGTCCGGTACAGGTCCACTTGTAATTGTTCCGTTGCGGTGAGGGGTCGGGCGCGGGGGACGGTGTATTTCTGTTTGGGGAGGGGCATGGTTAGTTTTCTTTCTTGGTTTGTTTCGAGGGGTGGATTTGGGGTTGCTTTGGTGTAGGAGGTTGGGTTCAATGGGATAAAGCAGCATATAAGACAAAGATTCGAATTGAAGATAGGATCAAGACCAATGCACAACAACAACCAGGGACAAGAAGCATACAGGAAACAGCGGCGTAGGGGCAGTGTCCGGTTCGCCGCTGGGATCGGAAGCCTCCCAGGTGAATTCCGCTCCGGGGAGCTTTCTGCCTTTCTTTGCGCCGAATCGGGACATGGTGGAGGGAGGATGGAGCTGGAGCGCTGGTACTGAGTATTATATTCACTGAATTGTTGCCCGGGGAGAGAAGCCGTCAGCGCAGGCAATGTCATGATTGAATGGCGAGAAAAAAGTTCCGGCCGAGCTGGGTCGGGTTCACCGCCTAGAGAGGGGCGAATGGGGTTAGGGTATTCGGGCGGGAGCCCTGGGGTGGTGTGGCCAATCAGGTTGTATGGGAGTAGTACTCTTACTAGGTAGTAGATAGTACTATGGCTATGTATCAAGTGCTTCATAAGAAAGGTATCTAATGCTATCGTAATTCGTCCCGACTTAGTCTGATCACAGGCCAACCGTTGCAACTTGGTTTGCAGTCTCAGATACAGGCCCCCATGGCCCCTCGTTCACGCGTTGTCGCAGCGTACGCATGATATCCTCGCATCCCTCCATTTGTCCACCGCTTTCCTTGAGACAATCATACAGCGCCACCAAGACCTCGTGCTTCGCCGTGGCTACTTTCCAGACCGCGTTCTGCGAGTCGCCGGCACCGCCGCCGACAAACTCGGCGTACGAGCGAGGAGGCTTGAACAGATACGGCAACAGGATGGTCAACGCCGGCGGGGTCAGGGCCGCCCAGGCACCGGACGACGGGAGAACTCCCTGTGTAGCCGGGGACAAGCTCTCCAAAGCTTGTTCCGTGGGGAGCTGGTATCGGGAGGTGCCAGGCACGGACGAGGTGACTTCACCCGTCAGGATCTGCCAATTAGCGGTAATAAGAGACTTCATGAGTGAGATGGACGCCAAAGATACATCCTTCATGGCGAGCAGGTCAGCCGTGGCAACAACATCCGTCCAGAAATTAGCGTGATGATTGGTGTACATAAAGTATAGGGCGCGTGCGGCCGCTGCCTCCTTGTGCCAGTCGGTCGGCATCTGCCCCGAAGCATTGAGCTCCATCGAGTCTGCCACAACTTGCTTGACCGGACCATGGAGGATCTTGGACAGCACGTCGAGAGCCTCTTTGTTGGGAGGACTGGTGGGCACGGCCAGAACCGGATTCAACCCTTGTTTGCTGGCTTCCACGAGCAGCACTCGCGGCAGACAAGAGAGAACGTTCAACTGCCCGCTCGGGACCGGCCCATGCGCCCACTGGGAAGACGAGATCGTCACCGAGGCAGAAATGCGAGACAGTATCCGGTCCAGCAGATGCTGTGGGTTTTGCAGGAAATGGTTGGGATACAGCTCAGCGTACTGCGCAACATAAGTCATGATAGGCCCGCATAGGTAAGCCAGGTCGACCGAGTCCAGCTTTGACTCGTCCAAGTAGTACTCGAGTAGGGTGGTGTGGATGTTTTGCGAGATGAGAAAATCTAAAGCGGGGGAGGAGAAAGTAGACGCTGACTGCACAATAGTCCGTGCAAGAAGACCAGGGGCGTCAATTTCCAGAAGATCATGGAAAAAGTTCACGAGAGTCATATGCATGAGCACATCACTCCGGTCGACCATATAGCAAGATGTGAACTGGAGAAGGCTGCTGCTCTGGTACTTCCTCTCAACCTCTGGCACTTGTGGACTCGAAATCATATCCCAGCGCAGCCGGCCCGCTTTCACAAGCAGCCCCATCAGCCTTCCCTGAGCCACGGTCTTGTCGCGTTTGGAAAGCGTCCCCGGTCCATCGTCGGTGAGACTGCATAGAGAGAACAACAGGCCGTAGACATCCTTGTCTGTAAAGATCCGCCTCCAGACGAGCCCCTGTCCGCCGGTAGCTTCATCGCTCTCGTGCCCGACATTCTCGAGAGGGCTGGCCAAGTCGATCTCCAAAAGCGCCCAGATTGTGTCAAAGGCCGCCTGTGCTACCGCCGTAGAAGAGGTCGATAGCCACAGCTCCACCAAGGATGCAACCAGTTCCGGATCACCGGCAACGATGGCAGCATCACTAGAGGTATTTCCCGCTTTGCTCAGCAACGACAGAGCCAACAAGTTGATCGGTTCGGACGGCGCTTTGAAACCGGAGATAAAATCGATCGGAGGTTCAACAGAGCGAAGGTCGGCAAAGCTGAAGTATGCAGTAGCCTTCGTACCCAGCGTCGTAATAGGGGTGGGGTCTTCCTGCAGGATGGGGAGGAGCTGCGAGATCTGAATCAAGAGGGTGGCGGGGACTCTGCGATCGATGTTTGCGGTAAGCTCCAGCCTCAGCTTGTCTATGAGAGTCAGGTCCAAACGGGTAGAGGGGTCACGCTGCACCTGCTGCAGATGCAGTCTGACTTCATCGTAAGTCGATGGAACAGCCATTTTGATGGCAAGGATTCCCGATGCGATCCGTGGAGTGGCTTGAGGAGAACCAGCCAGGAACGGCTTTCTTATCCTCGGCGGGGAGCTGGCTGCAAACCGGGCAAACATGACATCTCCGCCAATTCCCCGATCAGTTCGAGACCATTCCAGCTCCAGCTCCAGCTCCCCCGTTCAACTTTAGATCAAACCCATCGACTTCAAGTCATACTATACATAATGTCCGATCAACCAGAATCCCTCATATCTCCCAAGAACTCCGACTCTGGCCTCCACATCCAACTCCACCCTTTGATCCTCCTCACCATATCTGACCACATCACCCGCCATGCCGCCCGCTGCCAGCAGGGGCCTATCATCGGGGCGCTTCTAGGCCAACAGAACGGACGAGAAATTACACTGGAGCACGCTTTCGAGTGCGTGGTGGGAGAAGGGCCAAACGGTGAAGTTCAGATTCCTCACGACTGGTTCGTGGAGCGAGTCAAACAATGTCAGTCATCTATCTATACCCATCCCGGTTGCGTGCTCTGACCCCTCCTAGTCAAAGATGTACACAAAGCTCCCGCTCTCGACCTCGTCGGCTGGTGGTCAACCGCTCCTCCATCCGGCCCTAATACCTCCCACCTTCCCATCCACCGCCAGATCCTCCAGAACCACAATGAGTCCGCCGTGTTCCTCGCCTTCCACCCGTCCCTGGTGCAAGGGGCATCATCCAACGGCGGCAAACTCCCCGTGACCATCTACGAGAGCGTGTACGAGGGCGAAAATGCGGCGGAAAGCGGCAAGACGATGCAGGTGGACGGCGAAGAGCAATCTCTCACGATCCGATTCCGGGAGCTGCCCTACTCCGTCGAAACCGGGGAAGCCGAGATGATCGGTATTGATACAGTCGCGCGGACAGCCCGAAATGCGGCCGTAGATTCCCAAAGTACATCGCAAACTATCGGGAAGGATATCAAAGAGCAGCCTACGGAGTCGACCCTACTTTCTCCGGAGGAGGAAGAACGTGAGTTGACCCACCGCCCGAATATAGTTCACGATTAACTGACAGAGCCGCAGTAATCGCCAGTCTCACCACCCGCCTCAACGCCGTCAGGGCCCTGGAATCCCGCATCTCGCTCATAAAGGCCTACGTCGCCAGCGTAGCCTCTGAAGGCGGAAACGAGGACACCCCGTCAACCGCCACCCTATCCCACCCCATCCTCCGCAACATCAACGCCCTCCTCTCCCACCTCACCCTCCTCACCCCGCAAGAACAAAGCGCCTTCACAGCCGAAGCCATCGCCCAAAGCAACGACGTGCACCTGGTCTCCCTCCTCGGACAACTCGGCCAGAGCATCAGCGCCATGCGCGAACTCGGCAAACGAACCGCCATCATGAACAACATGAGACGCACGATGGTACCCCGTAAATCGCAGCTAGCGATGCAGGGTCGATTCGGGGACGAATTCTTCTCGACTCGGGACGGAGTGACTCATGGATAAAATCTCGACACATACCTAGATAGATAGTATTTAACGAAATGAATTAACGATCATATTACTTAGATTGGATGTCCCATCCTCATTTCATTCCTAGCGCGGAGTCTCGGTACGGAGTCTCAGTACGAAGCTATTGCACTTTCGTCGTCACAATAACATCTAGACATAGATAGATAGATACACCCTCCACTAAGCAAAAGAACATAGTATAATATTGTACAATAGAATCTATCTAATACCCCATCTCACCATCCCTCCACCAACTTCAAAATCAATAATATAAACAGAAAAAGAAGCGGGGACAGACAAACAAGCTTCCACCCAAATCCCCAACCAAGCAAAACAAGCAAAACAAAAAAACAGAGGTATAAGTCTAGTCTCATAAAACCTCAATCTTTCATACCGTGATCTCATATGGGTAGTAAGTGGCTAAACTAGAGAAAAGAAGAAAAAAGATCAAGCCCAAAAACACAGGGTATTATACGACAGACAGATACACACAAAAACGGACGGACACAACCAACGCCGGATACAAAGACAAAGATAAACACAAACACAAACACGAACACGCTAGCGATGAGGGCTAGCGGTGGCGCTCGCTACCAGAAGGAAGAAGACATGCATGAAGACTTGGAGGGGTCATCATTCCGCGGGGGCGGATTTTTTTCGCTCGTCGAATCGAATCTCGTGGCTTTACCGGCGTTGTTGTTGGTGGTCACTGTCGTAGTGTGGTGGTGGGGTTGGGTAGGATTCTGGAAGAGGGATGGGAGGTTGTTCTTGGAGAATGTTGGGGTCGGCGTGGTAGGGGCGGATGGGTTGGGGTTGGTAGGGCTCCGGGTGGTACGGGTTGACCGGGTTGACCGGCTCGGAATGGTCTGGATAGGGCGGGTTGCCGGGCGTAGGTGCGTGGTACGGGTCTTGTTCAAGGTGGGAGTTGACCAGGTATGGGTTGTATGCGTCCTCCTCGTAGGGGGAGTACGGCCGGGCCGTATGCGAGGCGGCAGGCTCCAGAAGCGAGGTGGCGCTGAGTCGGTTATGGTTGTAGAACCGGTTCGGGTCGCTGTCATCCTCCGTCGGGGGCACCAGTCCACCAGGGCTTGGCTGCGCATGCGACAAGAGCACCTGCCCTTCGTCGTCAGGGGGGCTGTAGCGTCCACCGCCCATCACTGCGCCGGCGCCGGCATATGCGGTGCCGTGAGTTTCGATTCCAGTCTCCGTGGCATTCAGATTGAACGCATCATTCGCGGTGTGATGGTAGCTGGGATCCATCGTGCGCCTCTTCCGACCAACGAAGAGCCAGCGGAAACTGCGTCCAATGGCCTTGATGAGATCCAATGGGTTTAGAGCGTCAAGCAGGGCCTTCATGCCGAAGCGGCCGCCTTCATAGCTACCTTTCCCGTTGCCGTAAAAGTCGGTGACCTCGGCGGTCTGGCCATTGAGGGAGTAGGGCTTCCAGGAGAATGCCCACAAATGGAGAACGGCGAAGAACGCCATTTCAATGTTGATGAGCAGGTTGGGGAGTCCGACTTTGAGATCGGGGTCCTGGAGCTTCGAGGTTGTTTTGATGGCTCCGGCGGACGTGAGGAAAGAGATCAAAGTCTGAACGCATTAGGCGACACAGAATGGAACGTCGGAAGGGATGCACTCACCGATTGCCAGAAGGACAGGAAAATCACCAACTTGATAGAAAGGATCTTCAGAAATGGCGAATATTGGCTAATGTCGTCTTTGATCTGGATGTAGAACTGGATCAGACAGTACATGGCGATCGAGACGGCAATACACTCCACGACCAGAACCTATCCCAGGGATTAGCGATATCCAACACAGTGATGCAGAGCGCGTACCCAGATATGCGAGAACGCAGGGTTGAGAGACTCCTCGCAGTACAAGTTGAACTTTTGCGTGACGACCGCGACGATGGTCATGAGAACTCGGAGCAGACAGTATTGGAACACGCTGATCCAAATGACCTATAGACCCAATGAGCATCCCGACTTAACCGCACACATGGCCTGCCACTCACGTTGAACCAGGTCAAACCACTCCGCGGAGTCCGCCAAATCCCTTTCTCACCACCCATGCACTTCTGCATCCACGGGATCGGCCACACCCATGGCTTAGGCTCGACTCCACGGAAATATTCCTTCTGGCTATGGAGGTCGGGCGCGATGTATGCGCACATCAAGGAGAAGAAGGAGGAAATCGCAAATGCTTCGTAACAATTGCCGATCACATCGTAGTAAACGTCGTTCTTGTAAAAGTAGGTTCCCAGCCATGCGACGACGGCGTAAACGGGGACCATTAACAGGATTCGAATAATACTAGCAGGGAGAGTCGCATGTCAGTCTGGCGAAGCAGATGAGGCCAAAGGAAAGTGGAAACATACTGCCGTTGCTCGATCTTTTTGCTGTAATGTGTGGCATGCATTGCAATCAGGTAAAAGGAAACTAGGATTGAGATGAGGCCAAAAACCCCGCCCACGATCAGGCAGAGTTCATGAAAGGTGATGCCACCATCCCAGAGGTCGACCTCGGTGACTGACGAGAGTCCGCGTCAGCCCATTTCAAACCAGCGAGTCGCAAACATCAAGAAAACGGAGGGGCGTACTGGTCTCATCTTCCGCGGTGGAATTGCACACAGGCCAGCCCATTCTTGCAGGCGGGGAGGTAGACTGCAAGGATGAACAGCCTCGGGGGTGAAAGAGGGAAGAAAGGTGGAAAGGACGGGATGCGAGGGCGAGAGAGGAGCGAGGAGCGAGAAGAGGCGATCGTCGCGATGAACCCAAGCCCGTCGCTCGGTCTTAAGATATCTTATCCGCACAACCGGGCTTGGCTCCCATGAACCCCTGGGAGCCACCCAATATTAAGCTTTCGTCACGTTGCGGTGCCTCGAGTCGCAGGGAGAGGGCGTTTTGGTACCGGGAGGGACGGAACGATGGGCCTGGCAATACTCGGGATGCGCTGGCAGGACGATGATCGAGCTGGGATCGCAGCGACCGGCGGGAGAGAGTTAAAGAGAGGACCACGCCCAGGGTGACGGAGTCTAGTTGGGTTGTGAAGTGGAGCAAGTCGGGAGGTATGAGTACGTAGGCGCACGTCAGGCGAAGAGTCGGCGCCCAGGAGGACGGATATATTGATGATCGTGTAACCGGCGGGCACCGTCGGGCTGGTCCTTTGTTATCAAACAATGGATCCTGGCGTAGTCTGTACCTTGGAAGGGGTGTACTGAAGTACTGGTAGTACTCAACTCGGTCAAGGGTAGACGAAGAATGGAAGCGTGCTGGCCGACCCGCAAGGCAGCCACATTTAAGTCATCGTTCCTGTCGCAGTGTTTTTCCTGCAACGCTGCATAGCGGACGGTGGTTGCTGCGCCACCGCAATTTCAGGGCAATTTCAGTCCTCCGTCCTCCGTACTGGGAAACCAAGATAAAAATAAATCTTCCGGTCATCCAGGAGACACTCCTGTGATTTACATCTAAACCGAGATACTATGGAATAATTTACATGGCCGTCAATTTGCGTCGATCACGCTTTTCACGCCGCCGTCTTGGCACTGGGCTACTGTACAGGAAATTGCAATCGCCTTTCGGACTGGCACGGCACCTAATCCCAAACCGTGGCAGTTCCATAGTGTATCATCATCATCACTGATCAGGGGTAATGGGTATATCTCCTTCACTCAATATCGACTGCGCCGGTCATCCCTCCATGAATCCCCAAAGCCTCCGCGTCCTCGCCCACCTCGCCCACCACGGCCTCGTCGGTTGCGCCCATTGCCGCCAAAGTCGGGCCCGTTGTCTACAAAATAATCATCGTCCTCGAAGGTGATGCGACGGGGCTCGTCCCCTCCCCGCCGGGGGTACTCGCCCTTTCGTAGCAAATCGTCGAAGCGATCCAGGCGTCGATCCGCCACCTCCCGAGGCACCGGAAGGTAGTACAGCTTGGGCTTGGTCGTCGTAGACATGAACAGCTCATCCAACGGCTTGAATCCTTGTCCAGGTCGGGAGCTCGAATCTGCCGGGGCCTCGCCGCTGGGACGCCGACCGGGGCCGCCCATCTCTGCCCGGGGCCCCGTTGGTGGTGGCCGGGAGAATCCTGAGGACTCAGGCCCGCGCGCCGGTTGAGATCCAGCGCTTCTCGGATCGATCTCCCCTAGCACCGCCTCGACGCCGTCCTCCGTCGGTTCATACCGTACTTCCCAGCGTGGCGGGGGACCGCTGCGTTGTCGGGCCCCTTCTTCCTTTTCAATCCACTGGGATAGCTTGTCCTCGGGAATGAAGTCCACAAACAGGGTCTTGCGGTTGCGTTCGTTGGGCCAGACCGTCCCGTGGAGGGCGGTGCGGACTCGCGATGCCGCCGCGACGGCCGTAAAGCTCACAAAACAATGCGTTTTGATGGGGTCCAAGTAAAAGTCCACCACCACGTCCGGATTGGGCGCGGCATCCGGAGGCGACGCCAGACTGACCAGGTGGTTCCGGAGCGCGACCGGCTGGAGCGGACGCATCAAGCCGCCGACATAGAGAGCGGCCGTGGCGACGTGCAGAGCAGGCTCGACGTCGGCATCTTCCATCACCGCATCCGGCGGGGGAGACACGGGGCGGGTCTGCTGGGTGTCCTTGGCAGCAAACAGCCCTTTGAAGCGAACATCATGCTTCAGGGGGGCGCCTTTCTTGGACGTTTCATCTTGCACCGGCGGGGCGTCATGCTCAGACGCGGTTTCGGGCCCCGCGCGTTCTTCAGGGGTTCCTTGTGGGCCGGAATCCTCTCTGCCGTCCTGCCGGGCCTCGCGTTCCTGAGCTTCCTGGTCCTCGGGCAGCAGCACCCGGGGCGTTTCATCCTGGGCCTTGGCCTTTTTATGCGCAAGCACGTCGGGGGTGGGCACGGGGCTCTGGCTGCGACGCTTTCGCTTCCGCCTGTCCTCCAGCACTTCCTCCGTGGGCAGGGGGGTCGACAACGCGGTATTCATCTCCGAGGGGATGGCAACGGGCGGCGCGGTCTCGTCGGATGCAGCCAGTTCTGCGCCTTTCGGCTCGACCATCGCAGACTGCTCTGCTGCCTCTCCAGGAGCCTGCTCTACCGGCGCTGCAGCTGTCTCAGTCTTGGTCTGGTCGGCGGGTTCGACCATAGTCGTATCGGGTGGTTGATCGGTCATAATGGCATCGGTTGGTTGGTCTGCATCGGTTGGCTCCGCCGGTTCGTCTTGTTTTGGTGATTCTTGAGTAGGTTCTTCAAACTGGACTTGCTCTTGCTCCGCAGCTTTTTCATTGGGGGCTACCGGCTCCGGCTTCGTCTCGTTGACAGCGTCGCCCTGTACCTGCTCTTGCGTTGGTTCCTGCACTGGCTCCGCATATTGATCTTCTTTCCCCTCAGGCTCCAGGTTCTCCGGTTTGGCCGGCGCATCTGCGGTCGGCTCTGGCTCTTGCTCTGGTTCTGGTTCTGGCACGGGCTCCGACTCGACGGGTTGTGTTGTCTCTGGCGCAGCATCCTGTTCAACCGGCGACTCTCCATTTGCGACTGCCTCTGTCCCCTGCTGCGCGTCTTCCTCCACCAATCGATCAATAATTTGCTGTTTAACGCGGAGACCGGTCTGCGGGATGCCGCGGCGCTTCAACTCGGCCTTGAGGTCGGTCACCTTCCATTTCGCGTAATCGGTCATTGTGACGGAAGCGCACAATCGTAGACTCGCATGCAGGGGTATGAAGATCGGTTGTCGGGGAGGTTCAGACAGGCGTGGTCATGGCTGGGTGTTGGTGCGATGCGATGCCCCTGCGGTGGTCGGGCATGAGAATGAGCCTTCGAGCGCGACCGATCGGGATGATGTCGTGCGCTAGGCCGGATTGGGCGGTAGCCTCAGAGCTGCCGATTCCGGCAAGGTGGCTACCGGATCCGGGTGAGCTCCACTTGCCTGATTGGGCTCGCGCTCTTGCGGACGTGAGACTATTTCCATGATGTCCAATGCAGTGATGAAGGGAGGGCATTCCACGCTCAGATTCTTGGCTTATCGCATCTTTCACCTGTGCAAGCTCAACTGTACCTGTCTATCGCATAGATCCGGGCTTCTGAATCTCAGTACGCTTAAAGTACGGGATGGTACTCCGTAGGACACCGGCAATAGAGTTTCGTAAGGCTTACATCGGTGTTATCAGATAATCAGATATCAACAAACCCCGCCTTGTCCGATGCAGGTTGACGAGGTTGTTGATAAACGATGAGTCCGGGACGATGCCATGATAGCGGTGTTCGTGCCGATAGGTGCTGAGTAGTGTCTAGGTGCTGATAGTCCGTCTGATAGACAGAGGGAAGTTGCTTAGTGCCAACGTTAGCGTGAGATGGTGTACGGAGTACTACATAGTCCCTATCGACTAGTATCCTCCAGGGACCGTGTTATCATCTGCGAAGCGTTAGCTTGCCATGCGTTTCTCTAACACCAGCAATGCAAGAATACAAGATCATACAGTCGCCAGACCACCGGAGCTATTCGAATTGACTCGAAAATGAGCAAGTCCATACCACACAGAATGATCTAGGACAGCATTGGCTCTAATCCTCCGCAACACTCCGACCCCGGCCGATCGCGCCCCAGCCGAACTCCGAGATAGAGCAGATAAGATCGGGGCTGGGCCGGACCCATCGAAGTAAACACCGCAATCTATATATTGCACCGTGACTCCAACCCAACCACCCCTATCCACTCATCCAGTGAAACAAAATGACATCCAACAGCATGCTCCCCCCAACTAACCCCATTACCCCCTTCTGGCGCACCCAGCTCGACCCGCTCGACGACGTCCGCACCACTCCCGACCTGCCCCCGCACAGTGATATCGTGATCATCGGCGGCGGCTATGCGGGCGTCACACTAGCCTACTACCTCCTGAAACAGCTCTCCAACCAGGGCGACAAAACCACCACCGTGACCCTTCTAGAAGCGAGGCAGATTTGCTCGGGCGCGACTGGTCGAAATGGTACCCTTTCCGATTCCTCAACGAACAATACTATGCTACAGGACTAAGAAAATCCAGGCGGACACCTCCGTCCCGACATCTACGGACACATCCCAACCTACATTACACGCTACGGGCTCGATGCGGGCGTCGAGATCGCCAGCTTCGAATACGCGCACATCCAAGCTCTCAAGGATCTCCTCCGGGAAGAGAACATCGACTGCGATCTGAACATCACCCGGAACATGAATGCGTATTTGGATGAAGCGGCGGCAGAGAAAGCCAAGGAAGCGTATGAGATGCTTATCGCGCGGGGGGTTGAGCTAGCCAAGGACCTGCATTACACGTCGCAGCGGGATGCCGAGGGGGTGAGCCATCCTTATTCTTTTTCCCGGCCTTATAATGGCATAAGGAATGGGATTAACTGGTATACAGATCTCCGGCATCAAAGGCGCCAAAGCCTGCATCTCCTACACATCCGGCACACTCTGGCCCTACAAATTCATCCTCGGTCTGCTGAACAAGATCATCCATTCTCCCCAACTCAACGTCCAAACCCACACCCCGGTGACCTCTATCACATCCGAAGGGGAAACCCACACGATCCACACTCCCCGCGGCTCCCTCCGCGCCAGCAAAATCGTCTACGCCACCAACGCCTACACCGCCGGTCTCCTGCCCGAGTACTCCGCCAACATCGTCCCCTGTCGGGGAATCTGCTGCCACATCACAGTGCCAGAGGGCAAGACGGCGCCGTTTCTCCCGTACTCGTACGCCATCGGATACGGATCCGAAGCGCAGGGCGGCGGCAGTTATCTGATTACGAGGCCCGATGGGAGTATTATTGTGGGTGGGGCGCAGTATACCTTCAAACATGATCTGGCGCAGTGGTATGGCGTGGTGGATGATACGACGTTGATTGAGTCCGCGAAGGGTTACTATGATGGGTATATGCAGCGGACGTTTCGGGGGTGGGAGGAGAGCGGCGCGTATGTGAAGGAGATTTGGACGGGAGGTGAGTTCTGCCTTTTCTTTCCTCTTCTTCTCTTGATTTGTTCCATTATATCACTTCCCCCTCTGCATGAATCGTCTAAGTAATGTGTGATGCATAGTCATGGGCTACTCCTACGACTCGCACCCACACATCGGCCAAGTCCCCAACAAACCCGGACAATATATCTGCGCCGGGTTCAACGGCCACGGCATGCCGGTGGTGCTGCTCTCCGCGAAAGAGCTCGCGGGGATGATTCAGACGGGGAAACCTTTCGAGGAGACGACCATGCCACGGCTGTTTAAGACGTCGGCGGAGAGGATTGAGAAGGCGAGGACGGGGCCCAAGGGGGGAGATATTCTAGCATGATCAAGATTCCTGGGTCAGTTACATTCGATTGGTCATCTACGATCCAATGCATAGTATATATCGTATCAGATTCCGTGATTTCAGCACAATATCAAATGTTTTTACCTCTACTACATCAAACCAACCAAACATAAAGCGGCACAAAATAAAATATTCATAATATACACAACACCCCTATTCACCCTCACAACTCCACCACCAACTTCCTCGCCGACACTCCCCTCTTCAACACCTCCAACGCCCCCTGCACATCCTCCAACCCCCTCCCCATGACCTCCGTCTTCGGCGCACTCACAAACTCGCCCCTCCGCAACGCCTCGGGCAGGAAGTTCACAAACACCGCCTCCCCAACCTCATTCTCCACCAAATCACTCCCAAAAACAAACTTCGAGTCGACCCCCTCCTGCAACGGTCCCGTCGCCGGACTCACCAACGCCACGAACTTCCTCCCCTCCACCCGGGCCACAATCTCCGCACATAATCTCGGCGAGTCCGGTCCAATCGCTAACGCGCCCGCACCGATCTTCCCCGTGAATGCGGCGATGATGTCCTCGACTACTGTCTCGGATGCATAGTCAAAGACGAGACTCGCACCGAGCGATTTCACAAAGTCATAGTTCTTCGGTGACGCAGTGGTAATCACTTCATATCCCGCCGCCACGGCAAGTTGGATTGCGTTACTACCCACACTCGACGAACCACTCCAGATGAGCACAGTCTGCGATGTTGACTCCGCGCGGGGAGCTCTCGGATGCTGGAGCGCGAGATACTCCTTCTGAAAAAGACCACACGCGGCAGTCGAAATCCCCAGAGGAATCCCAGCCGCATCAGCGTAGGAGAGATCCGCCGGGATGTGCGACGTCATATGAGCTTGCAGAACAACATAGGTCTGGAACGCGCCTTCAGCGGACCGGTTGCTTTTCAGTTCGTTCGTCAGGCCTAGTACACGGTCTCCGGGGCGGAAGCGCGAGGAGTGAGGACCGGGCCCGACTTCCACTACTTCGCCGGCGACGTCGCTGCCCAGGATCGTGGGGTAGTTGGTCCAGGGGAAGAGGGCGGTGCCCAGGTCTTGACGGGCGTAGTCGACGAGGTTGAGTCCGATGGCGTGGTTTCTGATGATGAGTTCGTTGTTGCCGGCTTGGGGGTAGGGGGCCGGGGAGATGGTGAGGGGGTGTGCTTTTTCGGATTGGATCCAGGCGGCGGTGTTGGTGGGGGACATTTTGGTGTGGTAGATAGGAAGTGGGATTGATTGAATTGAATGAGGATGTTGTAGCTGAGATATGATTGTATAGATGTTGTACTGATGATAGAATCGAGATGGCCAGGATATCCTTATTTATCTAAGGATGGCGATAGGACACTAAGCCCGTAATATCCGACGGCGAATCCTTCGACTTAACCCCGACGGCATTCGCACCTTTTAATCTCTCCTACGGCCTCTTCAAATCCGTCGCAATCCGATCTCTTACATCTCCTCCCTCTGCATCAGTCAACCCCATGGATCAACCCCAATATGACCTCGCCCCGGCGCCCTATGGCCGCGCCTGCATGAACTGCTCACAGTCCAAATGCAAATGCATTCTTCCCAAAGGAGGCGGCCGATGCCAGAGGTGCTTTCTCTGACGTATACCATCTCGCGAACCCCGTCTGACCATATTACCAGGTGTCAGCGCTTGAACAAAGAATGTCGTCCATCGGCATTCCATCGACGACCGAACGGGCGCAAGTCGTCCAAGACAGGACGACTAGAGAGGAAACTCGATGATCTGGTGACGTTGCTGCGGGCACAGTCTTCCACGGGCCTCTCGGGGGATTATGTCGAGTTGATTGAGGACTTGCGACGAGAGCCCGAGGCTCAACAGGCCCTTCCTCCCATTCAAGTCGATCGCACGGTCTCGTCGGTGGAGAGAGTCATTGACTGTGGGTTTCTGGCTCCGACGGCGCAGCGAACGGTCCCGGATGCTCAGGATGAGGTGAATGCTCGCGGGCAGGCCTCGTCTGAACCGACCCCATCGCAGGCTGAAGAGTGTCTGAGTGTGTTTGTCACTCATAAACTACCTTACTTGCCCTTCGTGTATCTTCCGCCGGGGACGACGGCACAGCGTCTTCGCAGCGAGCGGCCGTTCCTATGGCTGTGTATTATGGCGGTCGCGTCCAAAAGCCCGAGTCAGCGCCATGCTCTGTGTGATAGGATCCGGGATATTGTGGCCCAGCGCATGGTGCACGATGTTGCTGGTCGCGATGTCGATTTCTTACTCGGTCTCCTGGTGTATATGGCATGGTATGTGCCTCTCTACCTCTGATTCAAGGTCTAATTCAGCCAGGTCCAACCAGCAAATCTTCAAAAAGCTCAACTTGACCGTGTACAACCAGTTCGCCAAGGCCGTTGTCTTTGACCTCATGCTCAACAAGCCTCCCGAGGGTGATGGGTCGTCGCTAATGTGTCTGTTGCAGACGCAGCCCGACGAGAATCCCACTCCACCGGTCCGAACAATGGAAGAGCGACGTGCCGTTCTGGGATGCTTCCTTCTGACCTCCATGTACCCACCCTCTACCCATTTAGCCAGATCAACACTAACGCGCTCAGCATCTCCCTGTTCCTGCAGAAATGCGACACCCTTCGCTGGACCACCCACATGGACGACTGTCTCCAATACCTCAGCGAGCACCCCGAGTGCCTCAACGACGAAGTCCTCGCCCAGCAGGTTCGCTTCCAGCTCGTCAACGAGAAACTCAACACCTCCGACTGGCATCGAGGCCTCACAGCCACCCACGAGCCCTTGAAAGCCCCTACAACCGTATACCTGCACGCCATCAACGCGCCATTCGAGCGAACCCAAAGCAAACTCGCCCCTCACTCCCAACGCTCCCGTACATCTACCCCCTTTCCCCCCTCCCCTCCACCAACCCTAACTAACTTCCCACCCAGGAATCCTCCACCTCCACCACAACAACACCATCCTCACCCTGCACGAACCCTCCCTCCTCAAACCCGCCCTCCCGACCCCCCACGCCCTCAACTTCCAACAACTCGAAAGCCTCCACACCTGCCTCGAAGCCGTCCACTCCTGGATGGGCATCTTCCTCGCCATCCCCCCCGCCGAATACGCCAGTTTCCCCTTCCCGGTGTTCGCCCAACTCGCTCGCAACCTCGCCGCTCTCTACAAGCTCTCGACCCTCGAGGATCCCGCCTGGGATCGGGCTCACGTTCGACGAACCACGGATATCATGACGGTTATGGATCGGTTGATTGGGAATTTGGGGCAGGCGGCGGCGTTGGCGAAGTTGGAGAGTGGGGAGGGGGAGGGGGAGGGAGAGGGAGAGGGAGAGGATGTGTTTTTTTATTCGATTGGGAAGTATGAGTCGGTGAGGATGAGTTGGGGGGCGAGGTTTGATGTGAATACTACTGGTGGTGGTGGAGGTGGTGGTGGGTTGGAGATGGAGCAGGGTATGCAGCAGGATATGTCCGGCCATGAACTGGGTATGGCGATGGGATTTGATGATTGTTTATCGGAGTTTTTGAATTCTATGATGCAGTAGGTAGATACTATAATGTATTGTGGTGGATACTTTAGTTTGTTTTGATGAGCTGTCATGGCTGTACAGTATATGATGAATCAAAATTCTATAGTCTATACTCTGCAGCCTGTATAGTATGTCGAACCCCACAACTCCATACTGTGTACTACTATGATGTAGAAGCCAGTGGGGAATCAGATTAGCGCCGGGAATTGTGGATCAGGGTCCATATCATGTCTCCGCCTCAGGTAGTCAGTCAGGTACCATTACCACTTGCACGGCATCAGTAATACTGCTATTGGAGTTCCCAATAGATCAGTGCTTCATATACTCTGGGACAAGAAACTCGATGATGGTGTCGAGAACCATGGTAACGCAAGCAGTAGTAAGAATTGGTACGTGCTTACCAGGTGAATGAGTGATTTATGGTGATGTCTGAATGTGTCATTGTATCCATCCTGAGGCGGTCCTCTTGGATTGATTGCTGTCTTGTTTACAGTGTAGAAATGGATCGTAGCAAGATATACACGGTAGGATGATCCAGACACCTCGAACGGAGAACAGATATGAGAGAGTACTCTGTCTGGAGTACTTACCCTGTACTAACTGCCGCATCGGCCTCTAAAACAGCTTAACGCCGGTACATTCACACACACTTACAGGTTGCAGCTTACTGTTGCAGGTGTACGGAGTATACTATTTGGCTTTAAGAGGTATTGGGCAGGCTGTACAATACGGCATTCTTGTAAAGAAAAGGGGCCAAATCCGGTCTCATCAGGTGACTTCGTATTTCGGAGTCGGAGCCTCGCAGCCTCCGCTCCGCTCCGGCCAGATGCAACGACTCCGATGACTTCATCTCCCTTTGTGGAGCACGCATGTCCTCGCAATATGAAGCCACCAGTACGGGCTTGTACCAACTGTGTCCGAGCAAAGACCAAATGTACTCCCCAGGACTCCGGGCCGTGTGAAAGGTCCGTCCCATCCTCCGATCCATGCTCGTGGCTAATCGTGCAGATGCGTCCGGTTGATGAAGCCCTGCCAGCCATCCCCGCCCGTACGTAAGCGCCGGACGGGGACTAAAGCTTCGGCAAAGGATGTGCAGAAGCTGGAGGAGAAACTGGATGGGCTGGTCAATATCCTCAGATCTGCGACCCAGCCGGGCTTGTTGAACGGGGCCGTCTCCGCGGGGCATGTAGTTTCGAGCCATGCAGAATCTGTATCTTTGTCGACGCCTCTAGCTCAAGGCGCACCTATTACTCCGGCCAGCTCGATCGGACATCCTGAAACCGTCGCTCAGACTTTCGAGCCCAATGACAGCGATGCAGCTTCGTATCTGAATCGGTTTCGTTCCGACTTCATCGGCCACCTGCCCTTTCTTGTCATCCCAGCCTCTCTGACAGCGACTCAGCTACGTCAGGAGAGTCCACTGCTCTGGCTAGCGATCATGACTGTTGCGTCCACCCGCACCATGCAGCAGAGAGGCTTGTCTAAGCAGATTCGAGAGCGATTCGGCCGCGAGGCCTACGTAGAGGGGACCAGGAACATTGACTTTCTCTTGGCCGTTCTAGTGTATACTACCTGGGACCATCACTACTCCTTTGACAAGCCGATCTTCACCAGTTTGCTACAGCTGGCTATCGCGATTCTCTATGACCTCGGTCTGGACAAGCCGCCGTCCCAGGACCCCGGTCTTCTACTCAGCTATGACCTGAAAGGCAACAGTCGGCCGTCCCGTTGCTCCCGGTTGCCCTCTATGGAAGAACGCAGAGCGTTGCTCGGCTGCTATCTCGTGAGCTTCACGTAGGTATGATGATTATCTTTATATGCACTTCTAATGTGTCCAGGTCAAATCTCTCACGAAACGGTGAGCCTCTTCAGTGGACACCCTATTTCGACGAGTGTCTTCGTGTCGTCGAAGAACGAAACGAATCGGCGAACGATGCCTTGCTGGTACAGCTGGTCAAACTGCGACTCATCACTGCAAAAGCAATGGACCCGGGGACAAACCCGACTGATGCCCACTTCATGCGGCCATCAGCCTCCTTTTATTTACAGTCACTTCAAAGACAGGTCCATGACTTCAGATCACGCATTCCCTCCGAGCTAGCCGATAACAGTATGTCGAACTCCCGGTGGTGAATTTCGCTAATGCATCCAGAAATCCTGCAAATGGAGCTGCTAAACACGGAGATGATGATCTATGAAGTTGGCTTCTCTTCCCCAGATCTCTTCCCCCCCCAGTCAAATCAACACTTCGAGTGCCTGTTTGCCTGCCTGCAGACCATCAAGTCCTGGACGGACACTGTCCTCACCTTTCGGCCCGAAGAATATGTCGGGTTTACCTGCTTGATATGTTCCAACATGGCGCGTAGTCTGGTGAACCTGTATCGTCTCACCACGTGCGACTATCCCGTATGGGACCGCAAGCTGGTGCAGGAATCGGTAGATGTGTCGTCGGTGCTGGAAATCGCAGCACAGCGCTTTTCCCAGGTCAAAGATGCGGCTGGACTCGATCCAGAGGGCTCCGAGCATCTCGATTTCTTCATGATCATGGCGGCGAAAATGCAGGCTATGAAGATGTCCTGGGATACGGTCATCGTCCCGACCACAGCAGACTCGTGGACTCCATCCGCGGATGACCTGGAAATGTTCTCCAACGAATTCCTCACGATGTGGAATTGGTGATTAAATCGTAGTGTCATTTCGCGAAATCTGCTGTCAGGTGTGGTACACCAATAAGGCGCAGATCCAAGGTCCAGCTCGGAGCGGAGCGTCGATGAGTCCACCTCCGAGTCGGGTCTCCCAACGCGCCCCTATAAGAGCGCCACGACATACTTTGTTTCTCTTTATTATTTTTCGTCATTATCAGTCTTCCTTCCTCTCTAACCTTTCTCTAACCTTCTTTCTCTAACTTGTTTTTTGTTCTAACCTTCCTTGACATCTACATCATGGGCTTCCGATCGGACCGGGATATCCCTGATCTCACGGGTAAAACTATCCTCGTCACCGGAGGAAACATCGGCTTGGGAAAGGCCTGTGTGCTCGAGTACGCCCGGCATCATCCCGACCATATCTGGCTTGCTGCCCGCAACCTGACCAAGGCCCAAGCCGCTGCCGACGAGATCAAAGAGCAAGTGCCCGACGCACCCATCCGACTGCTTGAACTCGACCTGACCTCGTTTGACTCCATCAAGCGGGCTGCACAAGAGTTCGCCGGCTCGTCTCAACGGCTCGACATCCTGATGCTCAATGCCGGCATCATGGCCTCGCCTCCCGGCTTGACCCAGGACGGCTACGAGATCCAATTCGGCACCAACCACATGGGCCACGCCCTTCTGACCAAGCTCCTGCTGCCGATTCTGGAGCAGACCGCCCATGCCAATGGCGACGCCCGTGTCGTCTCTCTGTCCTCCGATGGCCACAGCCTCGCACCACCGGGTGGCTTCCAGTTCGACACGATCAAGACCTCCGGCGACAGTCTCAGCGCGTTGGCTCGGTACGGCCAGAGCAAGCTCGCGAATATCCTTTGGATCCGGCAGCTAGCAGTCGAGTACCCTGCTTTGACTACCGCGTCTATCCATCCGGGGGTCGTGAGTACGAATCTATTGAGTGGGGCGACGGATGCTCCTTGCATTGCCCGGGTGTCCCTGCATGCCGCCAACTCCATGGGACTCCTTTCGACAGTGGAAAAGGGAATCCGCAACCAGCTGTGGGCGTCTGTATCGCCCGAGGTCAAGAGTGGCGAGTACTATACGCCTGTTGGAGTGTCAGGGAAGGGGAAAGCCATTGGGAGGGACATGACCTTGGCGCGGAAGCTCTGGGATTGGACGGATGACGAGTTGAACCGTTTCTTGTCGGCATGATTATCTATACCTGTGTTTGGATCTGTATCATACGTATATCTCCATCATTGCATCATACTACTACCATTCCACTAAACCCCCCACCCCCCCTTCCAAACCTCAATAAACACATCCTACCCCCTAAGAACCACCATCAATCCTCATACCTCCTCCCATCCGGATACCCCATATACCCCTCCAATTCCTTCAAATCCGGCATACCCGCGGGGCCCGGCATATACCGCCAATTCTCCCTCTCGGTGGTGCCATTCCACCAGATCTCATTCTTGTGCAATGCGTCCATGATCTTCGGCGCATCAATATACGTTCGGACCTCGACCATTTGGTTCTCGTGCCACCGCGTCACCCATACGTTTATGATGTCGAATGCGTCGCCTGGATACAGCATTAACATATGCCCTTCCCCATACCTTCCCCCCAAAAGAATAATAGATAAGATGGAAGGGGATGAGGGTAAATACCCGAATTCATAACCCCCCTAAACCTTACCTCCTGAACCGACCACCGACTCTCACACCCCCCATGAATCGCCACCGGATGAATCTCAAACCTCTCCTTATGATCCATAAACAAGACACTAACTCTCCGCAACGCATTCACGTAGAAATGCAACAAGTCCGTGTAATGGCCCGCGATGGGGTGATGGCCGACGACGGTGAAACTGACGTTTTTGTGGATGAGGGTGAAGAGCTTCGTCATGTCTTTTTCGAGCGTCTTGAAGGAGTCCCAGATGTGGGGCTGCGAGGGGTAGGGGCATTCCAGGGTGGGGTTTTCGAAGGTGAAGTTTTCGCGGGTGGGATCGGGGGTGAGGATTGGAGGTATGGGGGAGGGAGAGGGAGGGGATGGGGGGATGAGGCCGTCGCCGGTGCAGTGGTTGTTGGGGTTGGTGGGGGGGATGAGGCCGGTGCCGTCGCAGGAGGAGTCGTCTTTGATGTTTGGGGGGGATGGAGGGGATGGAGGGTTAGGGTTGGGGGGGATGGTGAGGGTTAGTTGATCTTGGGGTTGGTGGGCATGGTTGGTGTTGAAAGGGAGGGTGAGGGTGAGGACGGTGGTGGTGAGGGATAGGGCTGGGAGGAGGTGTTGGAGGAGCATAGGTGATGTTATGGTTTCGATGTATGACTTCGTATGGATAATTCATATAGATAGATGATGTGGATAGCTATGTAGGTCTAGCTGTTTTATATGAAGTGTCCGATGATAATCTGCCGAATGTCACCGTTGAAGTCGTTGTATTATAGGTGCAACGGGGTGGCATACAAGCAGTTATAAGTAAAAACCCGATGCTGTGTGGAACTCGCCGACATGCAGCGCTGATTGGCACACTGAGTTGTACCATCTTCAGTGTTGAGCACCGAGTCAATGGTGCTGGTTGACAGTGTCGAGTATCTGGTGGTCTACTTATAGTCCACCATCCATGATCCATCCTCGTATGTTGTGATTGCTCCTGGTATATACCGTACCAGTCATCACGGTTAGACTAACTATTTAGTTATACTATTTATATTAGTCAAGGTATACAATTGGACCTATCACTTAGGTAATATTTAGTCAAGATCTGCCATCTATCAGCAACCCACCCACCAAGTGGAGAGTTACATCAATAGTGAGTCATGACCAACGCTGGTGGTTCAATGGAAGGGAACCAGCCCCTGTGTGTTCACCCATGGATGGCTGAGAGTGGTCCTCCGTCGTCCGTCCTCTCGGACAGTGGAGTGAACTATCCAGAATCTGTGTAAGGCACGAACTGGCTTGCAGACAATGATAGTGGCCACTGGCCACTGGCGACGATCGGCGTGAGTCAACGCCGTGAATAAATTTCCAAACTTTCCCAGGCCGATAGCGGGCGACAATGGCCACCCTCCGATTGGCCGGAAGGGGACCAGTCGGTGAGTCCTTGGCACGTGCCGCCCGACCGGCCCGGCCAGCGCACTTTTTCCCTTCTTTTAAGCCCGCCTCCTCCTCCTCCCCCGTCCGTTCTTTCTTTCTCCTCCTTTCGTTCTCTCCATCCCCAGACTGCCTGCCCCCAGTAAATGTCCATCTAAACACATCCATCTCCTCTCTTCCACCCCCCTTTCTACCAATCCCAGTGACTGGTAACAGCACAGTCGCGCTTATGCGTTTGGCACCTTCCGTCTTCACTTCTCAGGTATGCAGTCCTCAGCCTTGACTCATCCAATTGACACTAATCCATTGTCTAGGACTACATCTCGGATCACCTCTGGAAAGCTTCCGGAAACTTCTGAATCCACCCACAGCAACCGGCTTCTCTACATCCAATCTCACAATGTTCGCTCGTGTCTTCAAGGCCATGCCCGCCCGGGCTCCCGCCTTCCCTTCCGTGAATGCCTCCATCCAGTCTCGCTTCATGGCCACCGTTCGTCAGGGACGTCCGGCCCATGAGCGTGCCACCTTTACGATCCGAGATGGCCCCATCTTCCACGGCAAGTCCTTTGGAGCCCGCTCCAACATCTCCGGTGAAGCCGTCTTCACCACCTCCCTCGTGGGATACCCCGAGTCCTTGACCGACCCCTCCTACCGTGGTCAGATCCTGGTTTTCACCCAGCCTCTGATCGGTAACTACGGTGTCCCCTCCGCCGAGAGGGACCAGCACGGTCTGCTCAAGTACTTCGAGTCCCCCAACCTCCAGGCGGCTGGTGTCGTCGTGGCCGATGTGGCCGAACAGTACAGCCACTGGACCGCCGTTCAGAGTCTCGGCGAGTGGTGTGCCCGCGAGGGTGTGCCCGCCATCTCTGGCGTCGATACCCGTGCCATTGTCACCTACCTCCGTGAGCAGGGTTCTTCCCTCGCTCGTATCACCGTCGGTGAGGAGTACGACGCTGACCAGGACGAGGCCTTTGTCGATCCCGAGCAGATCCACTTGGTCCGTCAGGTCAGCACCAAGGCTCCTTTCCACGTCAGCGCGGCCGATCCTCAGTGCCACGTGGCCGTCATCGACTGCGGTGTCAAGGAGAACATCCTGCGTAGCCTGGTCAGCCGTGGAGCCAGTATCACTGTGTTCCCCTTCGACTACCCCATCCACAAGGTCGCTCACCACTTCGATGGTGTCTTCATCTCCAACGGCCCCGGTGACCCGACTCACTGCCAGGACACCGTCTACCACCTCCGTCGCCTGATGGAGACCTCCCAGGTCCCCATCTTCGGTATCTGCCTGGGCCACCAGCTCCTGGCTCTGGCCAACGGTGCTCGCACCATCAAGCTCAAGTACGGTAACCGCGCGCACAACATCCCCGCGCTGGACACCACGACGGGACGCTGCCACATCACCAGCCAGAACCACGGATATGCCGTTGATGCCTCGACCCTGCCTTCCGACTGGAAGCCCTACTTTGTCAACCTGAACGATGCTAGCAACGAGGGTATGATCCACAAGACCCGTCCCATCTTCAGCACCCAGTTCCATCCCGAGGCCAAGGGCGGTCCTCTGGACTCCTCTTACCTCTTCGACATCTACCTTGACAGCGTCGTCAAGTACAAGAACAGCCAGCTGGCGTTCCACCCCAACCGGAACACCGCCCCCAGCCCTCTCTTGGTCGATCTCCTGGCCAAGGAGCGTGTTGGCGTTCAGCCTACCATTGGCATGCAGAACGTGGCTGCCGCCGCTGCTGCTGCCGTTGCTGCTGCTTAAAAGGCTATGTCATTGGAACGGGAGTTTGGTTGGGTTGGTTGGATTTCGGTTGTACATGATTTGGTTCGGTAATAGTTTGGGTACATTTGATTCAATACATATTCATCACTTCTACTTTACTTCCTGTAGTCGTACAGCCCCGCATTGTGTAACCTCTCCCCCAAGAAATGTCTTTGCCATCCACCGAAGCAAGCTGGTCACTGTGCCTTAGGCACCAAGGCATTATCTCCATGCCGGCACCATCTCTCCCGCGAGTGTACTCCGACATAACAAAACCAAGGTCGGGTGTCATTGCAACAATACACATACAAATCAATAACATACCCTACTCACAATACATGCATTCCACACTGCATCCTTCCAGACTAAATCTACCAAAGGAATAAACAATACCGCAGAAGAAATCATCGAATTCCATAGCATACGCATACACATACACATACACAATCAACATGCGAGTCTAATCTCATACATACATAGTACATAGATAGCTCCATAAGAAAGCAATCAAGCCAACCGATGTGGAATGGATCGGTCCAGCCGGAAAGGAAGAGTATGGATACATCTAGTACAGAGGAAGATTGTACGCATCAAAATCATACACCCAAGTCTGGTACGACTCCTCGTCCCAAACGCAGGTCAATTCGGTGCCGTTCTTAACGTAAAAGGGACGTAGGGGCCAGGCGCAGAGTTCCTGGTGTTCGCCGGTGTTGGAGCCCTCTTGGACGGTGGCGTTGAGACGGTCGGGTTTCTGGCCGTTCTCGACCCAGTCGATCAGGGTGAGGAGGGTGGTTTGGGGCCAGCCGCCGTTGGGCTGGTCGGAGCTGTAGGAGCAGTGGGCGGCGCCAGGGACGAGGTAGAGACGGTTCCAGTCGTTGAGGGCGGCGGTGGATTCGTTGAAGGAGAGGGAGCCGTACATCTGTTGACGGACGGATTCGTGGTAGTGGACGGAGGAGCCGGTGGGGATGCTGGGGTCGGATTCGCCGTGGACGTGGATGATCTTGCCGCCTTTGCTGTGGAAGGGGGTGAGGTCGGGCCAGGTGGTCTGGAGGACGTCTTCGTAGCGCTGCCAGCCGAGTTCCATCCAGTCTTTCATGGTGTCGTAGGTGACGTTGTCCATGGTGGAGAGGTTATCGACGTCGAGGAGCTCGAGGAATTTGGCGACCCATTCGCCGCCGAGGGAGGTGATGTCAAGTTCCCATTCGCCGGTCTCGGAGTTGTATTGAGTTTCGGCGTCGTCAAAGGTCGCACTGGGCTGGTACCAGATGTAGGCACGCTTGCCGTCCAGGGTCTTCAGGCCTTCGAGGATCTTGGCGGCGACGGCGGCACCCTCCTTGCTGACGGTGCCGTTCTGGGCGGGGGTGGTGTTGCTGGTGGAGAGACGCTTCTTGAGGACGGTGGTGGTCGTCTCAGCCGGGCAGTAGTAGGGTGCGCCGATGGTGCTGTTGATGTTGAAGTGGAGCTTGCAGAGATCGGTGCGGGAGACAACACCGTCCTTCTTTCCGTCGAGGGCGTCGCAGGCGGCGATGGTCAGGTTGTTGATCTTCTCGAGCTCACAAGGAGGGGGGTAGTATCCCATGGTCTGCTCGACCAGGCCGGGGAAGAGGTGGTTGGGCTGCTTCTGGCCGTAGCGGATGGCAGGGGCTCCGATGACAGCGCCGTCCCATTCTTCAGCAAAACGCTGGACCTGAGACCAACCCTCACGACCACCCCTGGTAGTAGGCGTAGAGCTTCTCGGAGCTGCCGAGGTCGAAGAAGTTCTTGGTAAAGGCCTTGCCGATGGCGCTCAATTCGTAGTGGGCCTGGTATCCGAACATGTAGAGGGCTTCGCGGTCAATGGTGCCGTTGGCCTTCAAGAACACGGCATCGAATTCGGTGGAGAAGCCGCCGAAGCCACCGTCGGTCTGGCCGGAGGCAGCTCCGTACATGACACCACCGGGCAGGTCCGCACTGTCGCCGTTGATGGCGTAACCGAAACCACCGGTAGAGAGCCAGCGGTTCTGGAAGTCAGCGGGGGCCGGGAGCCAGAACTGCAGCAGGACCTGATCATCGAGCCCGTTGTGGCTGTAGGACAGGGTCACGTTGCAGAAGTCAAAGGTGGAGGCTGCCCAGAAGGCTGTGGCGGCGGAACTGTAGTTGTAGACCGGGTTCGCCGTGACGGATGAGGTGTCAACGGTAACGCCCATGAGAGGGCTGCTGGGGGCCACGGAGCGAGCATAGGTGGATGTGCAGACATCCGCCAGACTGGTCGCCTGGGCAAGAGAGAGAGTGGCCGTGCCGGCCAAAAGGCTCATCTTGGAGCGCATGGTGGAACAAAGGAGCTGAAGGAAAGAATGTGAGTGTGGAAGGAGAGTGCTTGCCAGGATGGACAGACAGGCAACCTCCAGCCGGCAGTCGAGTGACTTTATACCAGTCGAGAACTCGAAGAACGCTGTTGTCTGATGCCATTGTCATCACCATCATGTTATTGCCTCACCACCACTGTCGTTGTATCTAGATTAAGGAGGCCAAGCATCGCTGGCCCACCGCGGGAGAACCGTGAGCAAGGCAGGAGACAGACGAGCCATTGGTCAATGGCGAGAGATGTACGCGTCCCTGGAGTCGGATAAAGATGCTCATCGGCCGTCCCGCGTCAGATCGTCAGGCGCGGTTTGTGTCATCTGTCGGACCGATTCGCTCAGTTTAACTGTATCCTGACCAAGCTCCCTCCCGCAGAGTGGATGGCATAATTGCTAGCTTACCTAGGAAATGGACGGGCAGCAGTTGTGTCTCAGAGGGCATGGCTGTTGTTCCTTTGGAAGAGGATAAAAAGAGTGGAAGAGGTGACAAAGTAGTTGCGAAGGGAAGAAAGACGGCAAGGACGAGGCATTATCCGGGGCAGATAAAAGCCGAACGAGTCGGCCCAATTGCACCGACAAGGAAAGTCAAGCCTGAGGCTAAGCTTTTGGCGGCCGGCAGTTGGGGGCCTGGGGCACGGATGCCGCGCGTGCCCTGACAGCATTAATCAATGCGCTTACACTAGATACTACTTACAATCAGTCAAGACACCCCTTCAGTGGTCCGCTTGCGTTGCAGAAGCCCGAAGAAGGTGAGAACATTGGGGAACATGGAAGCGATCGGCGGGACATCTGCAGCTGCTCCATATTGACCACACCACCCACCCGTTCGCCGGCTGGGGGAAGAAGGGCTCTTCCATTCATCCCGGAATAAAAGCGATCGGCAGAGAAAGTCCCCGAACCTGGTATCTACTCCGAACAGACATCATGACAGGCAATATCGACCGTGTTGTTAAACTATCTTCCGCTCATTTAGCAACAATCGACACCACATCCTCATCGCACACCACATGCCCCAATCCCACCCGCTGGGGGATATGTCGCGCACTCGCGCCCCAGACCATCGCATACTTGAACGTCTCCTTCAAGGTCCGGTGAATGTTGTCGCACACATCCTCAATGGTCGAGTTGCTGCGGCAGATCAGAGCCTCGGAAAAGTCAGGTTCCTCTCCCTTCCTGTAGGACCATTAGCATTCTCCTCACTAGCGACACCGGTGTATGGCATAAGACGAACCGTTTCGTGTAGATGCGGATCAAGCGGAGTTCCTTCCAGATGCGATCCACGACGTCTTCAACGCCCAGGTCCAGTTCACAACTCATGACAGCAGTGTAGGGCTCGCGGGCTAGTTGGTCGAGGAAATCCAGGCTGACGCCGTCGATCTTGTTGTAGACATAGAGACTGGCGTGTGTTAGATTTCAATTAGGAAGATGGAGAGAGGGGCTGGGATTACCATCTGATGTATTTACGGTGGTCTTTCATGATCACGTCGATGAAGTCGTCGATAGTGGCTGAATCATGTGTTAGTCGTGCCATGGAAAATGTGGCCTACGAACGTACCATATTCATCCCGGACCAAGACTTCGCAGTTGAGCATCTTGTAATCGCGGAGAACGTTGTAGATCATCTTCTCGTCGAGGAACTTGGGCGGCGTCTGGAAGGTGATCTTCATACCACCCGCCTTCTTCTGCTTGAGGTAGATGTTCCTGCAGTCCAGTTAGCCAGACTCCTGAGCGACACTAGGGGCATACTCACGGAGGCTCCTTGTTCAGCCTGATGCCTACGGCATCTAATTCCGCCTCCAGCAGCGCTCGTTGCTCAGCTCGTTTCGTGGCATCCAGGACCATGAGAACGAGATCACTAGTCTAGACAAACTTTAGTTCTCATCGCTCCAAAGACAAACATAGTAGAATTAAGACAAACCTTGGCAGCAGAAATAACCTGTCTTCCTCGTCCCTTACCCTCCGAGGCACCCTCAATGATACCCGGCAGATCAAGAATCTGGATCTCCGCGCCTCCATACTCCAGGACACCCGGAATGGCAGTGAGGGTGGTGAACGCATACGCAGCCGTCTCACTCTTCGTCTTGGTGATCTTGCTCAGGAAGGTGGATTTACCGACGGACGGAAAACCGACGAGAGCCACACGCGCATCACCACTCTTGCTGACATCGAAACCGACACCACCGCCACTGGAGCCACCCGTGGGTTCCAGGAGCTGGGCGCGCAGTCGGGCGAGTTTTCTGTGGCAGTCAGTATGGTTCTATATGGCGGGGTAGATGTGAAGATGATGGGGGAGAGGGGGGAGGGGTGCTGACTTACCCCTTCAGTAGACCAAGATGGTACTCTATAGATAAAGTACATTAGATCTATACTAGATGAAATCAACTGGGCATCAGTTCGCACCTGTGGCCTTGTTCTCTGCACTTGATTAGCATGCGGGGCTATCGAGATTTGATATGATGGGATACTTACTCTGCGTCCTGCGCATCTCATCCTCAATCCTGTCAAGCAAAAATAACAGTAAGCAAATATGCCATCAGACAGTCACACCCGATTTGCAAGATCAGACATACTCCTTGATCTTTTCCGTAATGTTCACCATCTTGACGGTTAAGAGCCCCGCGGACTCGATTTCTCAGATACAGCACACGACACAACCAGACAGCAGAATCCAAACTCCACAGCAAGCCAAAGCACACGGGTCTCTATCACACAAGCGAAAATCGCACCGAAAACCGACGTGACCGCAGCGCAAGATCAAGAGCGAGTCGAGACTGGGGAATCACCTCAAAATCGTCCGCCACGCCAAGCAACCTCCCGCTTACGTAACATCACCACCTCCGGCGGAATCAAGTTCGACTTCACCTCACTTCCTCCAGCCCATCCATCTCCAACCACACCGCAGCCATGGCCGAAACAGCAGACACCCCTCCCCAGGAGGTCCTCCAAGAGACCGCAGAACAACAACCAGAGGGTTCCGAAACCGCCCTCGTGCCCACCGACGAAGCCCAAAAGAAAACCAAAAAGATCATCCGCCGCAAACGCCGTCCAGCTCGCCCCCAAGTCGACCCAGCCACCATCAAATCCGAACCTCCCCCGCAGACCGGCCAGATCTTCAACATCTGGTACAACAAATGGAGCGGAGGCGATCGCGAGAACTCCTACTTGAGTAAAACCGCCGCGGTCTCGCGGTGCAACATCGCGCGAGACAGCGGATACACGCGCGCCGACAAAGTGCCGGGGTCCTACTTCTGTTTGTTTTTCGCACGCGGTGTGTGTCCGCGCGGTGCGGAATGCGAGTACCTTCACCGGTTGCCGACGCTGCATGATCTTTTTAACCCGAATGTGGATTGTTTTGGCCGGGATAAGTTCAGCGATTATCGCGATGATATGGGTGGTGTGGGTTCGTTTACGAGACAGAATCGGACGCTGTATGTTGGACGTATTCATGTGACGGATAATATCGAGGAGGTGGTGTCTCGGAATTTCGCCGAATGGGGACAGATTGATCGCATTCGTGTGTTGACGTCACGGGGTGTGGCGTTCGTGACTTATACCAATGAAGCGAATGCGCAGTTTGCTAAGGAGGCCATGGCGCATCAGAGCTTGGATCACAGTGAGATATTGAATGTGCGGTGGGCTACGGTGGATCCGAATCCATTGGCGCAGAAGCGGGAGGCGAGGAGGTTGGAGGAGCAGGCGGCCGAGGCGGTGCGGAGGGCCTTGCCGGCGGAGTTTGTTGCGGAGTTGGAGGGAAGAGATCCGGAAGCCAAGAAGAGGAAGAAGATCGAGGGTACCTATGGCTTGCAGGGATATGAGCCGCCGGATGAGGTGTGGTTCTCCCGGGCCAAGGAGTTGGAGGATGCCGGGAGGGCGGGCCAGTTGGAGGCTCCGGAGCAGCCTTTGATGATTGAGCCTGCATCTTCGTCGACGGCTTTTGCTCCTCAGGAGCCTGAGAGCAGTGGCATTTTCTCCAGCTCTTCCGTCGCAGCGTTGAAGGGTCTAGCAGGCGGCAGTGTCACAACACAGCAGGCACCCAAAGCCGCTGGGCCGCTGGTCGCTTACGGGAGTGACGATGATAGCGAGTGATTGACGTACATTAATGCATTCTTACCTGTACTATAGCAAAGATACCTGAAAATGTGCTTTACTGGGTTCATCCATTATATGGCTTCTATTGATGGCTAATATAAACGCTTGTTTGCATGGCATAATCGTGGGTATACTTAGAGAAGAGATTCGAACAGCAGATACAAAGACACATAACACATGCAACATCTCACATCAATCACCTGTCGTTTCCACATCCGAGGTCATAATAGATGCATGACCCTGTACGGTAGTTATATATGAACGCATTGCTGAAACTCTCCATCCCATCTACACGGCTCTCGTTGGCAAGGTCGAGCAGCAGTTCATGGACCTGCGTGAGATACTTTCGTTCCGTCAAGGGTGCATTTTGAATGACCGCGCGCCAACTTTCCGGATCCGAAAGACGAGTGTCCCTGATGGCCTCTAGTAGCTCATCGCGGGTATCTATGGCGGCAACTGGGCCGTTTAATGCATCCTCGACCACCTCGCGAGATCGGAACAAGGCTGGAGAGGTTAGCGGGATCCTTGTATCGTAGATAGAAGTGACATACCCGACTCGACTATATTCCGACGATTCGACTTCTTGCTCCGGTGCTGGGGTACAAGAATGCGCACATCGCTGAACCGTTCATTGAATGAAGGTCCTGGGTCCGCCTGACTGGGTAGACGAGACTGCCGGAGAGGATCGACTGCGCCATCACGTTGGTAGCGCGCACGGATCTCATTTCGAAGCCAAGGCACGAGTTCAGAACCCCGAATGTCGTACTCTTCCCTTGGGAAGAGACTCTTGACCTTGAAGCCCCTCTCCTGACTGTCTTGCTTGGCAATGACAATCCAGCCATGGCTGTTGTCTCTGTACTTATTCAGAAGTTCCTCTAGCGAGGAGGCATCCACAGCCAGCTCTGCACTGACGTCATTGAGCCATAGATCCTGGACGATTTTGATGCCCATCGTACGTAATACGGTGGGATCGAAACTTGCGACAAGCACATCGCACTGCCAGCGGTTAGCCCTGGTTACTCAAGAGATTTAGTTCGGCTTACCCTTCGTGTCTTCCAGAAAGATCCAGTCTCCATATCAATATGTTTTGTCGGAGTCTTAGCAGGTGTCCCCAGATATTCAAGCATAGACGAGCTGAGACGGTCCCAGCTCAAATTGAAGCCGACAGCGTGCGCTTGAGAGCGACTCGCCAAGACCTTGGGGCGGAACTCTTGGACCAGCGAGTCATATCGCCCGCCTGCTGCAAAGACATCACGTCGCTTGCTGTCAAAGACACACTGGAAAAGAATACTGCCTCGAAAGAACTTGTCATTGAGACTTCCAAGAGGATTCATGTAGACCTTCCGCTTGACGTCGAAGTTTTGCAGATAAGCTACAAGTAGGTTGATGCGAACAAAGATGGGTGCCAAGCGCTCGGCAAACTCTGTGCCCTGCATGATAACCCGCAGTCGTTTCTGAACTTGCTTGGGGGAGTCTAGGTCAATTAGTCACTGTTATATCTAGCCAGAAAGAGGAAGGGGGCACTGCAAACTAACCTCGGAAGTCGAACCGAGCCAGGTCATCCAGCGAGGTGGAGGCAACACCGATGGCCGGGGAGCGAAGCTCACTCCGGATTTTCTGCATGGTCCACTTCCCAACGTTCAGTTTGCTGACAACTTCCTTGACACGCGGGATCTGAGACGGCGTTACCCGACAGAACTCCATGATCAGCTGAAGCAGGTCCGAATGATTGATCAGGAAGCACATGGGTGAAGATCTCAGGGGAGGAAATTCTTCGATGATCTCATCGAGCACCTTGATGACTTCGGCTTCTTTCAATGCCAGGTCCAAAGCGTTGTGTGATACGATATCGAAATCGACCTCTTTATGGGTCCTGGGCTCGCCACCATGGGGTAGCTCTCGGTAGACGGTTCCAAACGCAAAGGTTTTTTCCAGTGAAGGGTCTTGCCGTGGAATAGCACGCGCGTTCGGCATGGTCAGATCGAAGGGCAGCTGAAGCAAGTTGCCAGAAGAGTCGAGCAATCTGACGGCGCCGTTGTTGTAGTGTTGAGACCTGGGGAACAGCATCTGCCGTGGGGTTTCCACTGCTCCGTGCCGGCGAAAGATCGAGGTCAGCTTTTCTTTGACCAGCCCTTGAATCAGCAACTCGTTGGCTCCTGGGGTCCCGCGCGAGTCCATATCCCAGGCGATGTCTTCAAACTTCTTTGGCGACTGGGAGAAGATCCCGGATAGGATCTTCTTGTAGTCAGGCGAATTAGGATCCGAGAGTAGATGCATGATCGCACGCCTGAAGGTTTCTTCCTCGACCTGCAGAGGGATCTGTCCGCTATGCAGCAGATCCGAGGCGGAAGGACGTTCGCTCGGGTTGTGGCTGAGCAATGACTCGATGATCCTGCCCTGCACCACCTTCTCTGAATCCTGAAACGTGGATGGCAAAGTGTGGTGCTTCTCCCGTATAGCCCGCAGGGTCTGGTCACGCTCCATACCGGTGGGTAAGGAATGGCACATCTCAAAGAAGATGACTCCCAGAGAATACATCTATATTTGGGTTAGATTGCACTCTCCAGTTCCCGATTCTTTCTACTCACATCGACTTTGTCATTGTAGTTGCCTGTGAAGCCAGACTTCATTTCCGGGGCGACATAGTATGTTGTGCCCAGACTGCGAGTGAAATTGCCTTCAAAGTCTGCGGCGGAAGAAGAGCGCACAGCTGTCGTGAACTGGCCACTGGTGGCCAGGCCAAAGTCTCCGATGCGGGGGTTATTGGCTACATCAATGAAGATGTTGTCTGGCTTGAGGTCACGATGGATGATGCCATGGCCGTGGATATGGGTCAGCCCGTCCAGGATTTGCCGGAACAGACGCCAGGACCGGTCGACATCGTCATACAAACCATTCCTTATCAAGTCGCGAAGAGTCTTAGGCAATTAGCATCAGCTGGGCAAAGTTGAATAACCGCCACGAATAAACTTACATGCTTCTCGCAGTACTCCATCTGAATAAAGAGCGTGGTCAGCACGGGCCTACCCTGGGAACCGGACCTCGTCCGACTGAGCACCCTGCTTGTGCCGCTCTCGGTGTCGTAGGTCTCGGACATGTCATCTCGGTCTCCGTTCGACAAGGTTCCGTCATTATCCTCATCGCTGTCGGAGCCAAACTCAATCTTAGGGTACCCGCTGGAGCTGATAAAATCAAGCCCGCCTGTGCTATAATCATAGGCCCGCGTGTCCCGACTAGCGGAGATGTCACTCCCCGTGGAAGAGATGGCTTCCTCGTCTACGTAATCATAATCCTCCTCAATCCACGCAGTATAGTAGCGTACTACGTATGGGTGATTTAGGCGGGACAGCAGCATGATCTCCGACAATGTGTCTTTCAGCGCCGCGGTAGACTTCTGAGCGATCTTTTTGACCGCATAAAAGCGACCATCGAGCTTATTTCTCGCCTTAACCACCTGGCCAAATCCTCCTTTCCCCAATCTTCCAGCTTCATCAAAATCCTGGTTGTACCGCGAAAAGGCAGGCAAGCCGCCGAAAGAATCGAGGCGTGGACGCCTCGGCAAGGAGATTGAATTTGAAGCACTTGTGCGAGCAATTAAAGGCGTATCAACACGGAAGAATTCCGAAGGCTGCAGTTGAAAAGCAGTAGGCCGCTTCTTTGGGTCAGGCCTGAAGAACTCATGGAGCAGGTCCTGCAGGGCAGTCGATAGGCCGAGTGTTCCCATCAGCGCATTGGCCGATGTATAACGCTGCAGCACATCCATTCCGAACCCCATTTGCAAAAAGGCAATACCCAAGTCCCAAACGTCAGTCTTCATAGTTGGCGGTGCACCGTCCGATGTCAATTCGGGCGGCATCCAGAATGGTGACTTCGACGTCGTTAGCAACCGCTTGCTAGCGGGAGAATCGGGAAGAGCCTCTTCAATTGCGGCTCGCAATTTAACAATCGTCCCTCCGGTCGGAGTTCGGAAGAGCAGGATGCGACCGCAATGGATATTGCCATGGACAAATCCACTGCGGTGGTAGAACTCCAGAGCTTCCAGCAACTGAATCGTCCAGCTGCGGAGTACTTCAACGGGTACAGTCCCCACAATGTCCAGAAACTCGGCCAGTGTTCCTTTATTCGAATATTCGAGCAGGGCATAGACTGTCCAGATGCTGTCCCGAGTATCCTGCACACCCAAGGGTCTGGATATCTTAAACCCAACAAAGTCGACAAGATTCGGGTGGCGTAGTTTCTTCAGGCCTTCCAGCCTGTCCTCGCTCGAGCGCATCTTCTCTCGAAATGCGAGAGGCTCAATGTCCTTCTCATCCAGTGAAACTTCTTTCAGGACCAAAAGAGGCGCATGGGACCGATTGTCGGAGACGACAGGTCGGACGGTGAATGTGTCCTTCGCCGGACCGCTTTGAAGGAGTGATTTCCCGTAAACAGCTCGGAAGACCAGAGTGGCCTGGTCTGTGTCCGTCATGGCTAACGGTGGATCGAAGGTGATCGCGCCGGGAATATTACCCATAGCATCCGTGTCGCCAATCGCATCCAATCCAGAAGTGCGACTTTTACGTCGAGATATCCGTGCCTTTGTCCGCTCTCGGATCTTATCCTCCAAGAGCTGCTGCAGGGCACGTTCCTCTTCTGCTGTGGCAGCCTCCTGTTTCCGGAGCTCCTCCTGTCGCTCCAACTCTGCGCGCTGATTGGCGGCAGCTTCTTGTTCCATTCGCTCCTCCTCTAGACTGGGGAGATCCTTGTCCTGGGCCTGCGCCTCCGCGACGTCTTCAAGGACATCCTGGATGGACACGGCGAGCTCATAGATCATCTCGGAGCCCAGGAGGGTCTTCGGCTTGTTCCGGACAATGTCTTGTATTCTCGATCGAGCGCCTTTCCGGAGGTCGTCTAGGTTTTCCAGGGAAATGTTGGGAAGGGTCTTGGGGTAGGTGGTCGGCAGCTCGACCAGCAATTCAAGGTGGACCTCAGGGTTGGACAGCGCTCGTAGATGAAGCTTAAACGCGACCCCAGAGGATTGCTGAATCATCCCTAGTCAGCAATCTGCCAGTAGAAGTCCATGCGACAACATACCTGCCAGGCGGAGCGCCTGTGCTGTACCTCTTCAAAATCATCGCCGTAGATGGAGCGCAAAGCTTCAACTTCATTCTGGTGGATCTCCTGGTAATTGGTAGGAGCTAGTACGGGGGACGAGAATGGCGGCGAGTCTGGAACGAGCTGCTTCTTCTCCACTCGGGGAGAGCCGTTCTTGGAGGCATTGTTGAAATTCTTCTTCTGCTTGTGAGGCATAGCGGGGCGTTGTCGGGCGGTGTGGGAGATGTGCACCTAGATCGAGTTGGCCTTTGCCACGAAGAATGGTGACAAAGATGCAGCCGAAGCTGCAGCCCTCTATAGCTCAGCAGGGGACATGTCTGAAGCAAAGAATTAAAGGGAAAAGATCGTAAGTGAAGGGAAGAGGTGAGTGGGTTGAAGAGAGGGAGTAGAAGGGGACAACGGGAGGGATAGTGAGGGAAACCAGCACCAGCAGCAAAAAAGCGGTCTCCTGCTGGGCTGGTATATGAACGCCCGACCAGGGGGTCCGCCCCGTCGTTTTTCCGCCGACCGCCTTTGGGGCGGCAGCTCGTGACTGGGGCATCACCGCCCGTAAACAAAGCACAGCGCTCCACGTCAATCCCCTCCTCCATCGACCCTCTTCCCGGTCGCCAATGGTATCGCTGGTGCCATGCGTGTCTCGTCCAGTCCGGTAATCTGAACACAACCTTGTCCCTGCAGACGCGATGTTGGGGTGGATCACTGGGCAGGAAGACCAGGTCGCAGGTGCGTGTCTGCTGTCGAGCTGCTTGAGGCGCGCGCCCTCCCCCAATTGCGGTCCAATAATGGCCGTGCAATTATCTGACCGATTCCCAACCGCGGCCACCGCGCGTTGACTTGTTTTTCTAACTTGTTTATCCCCTTAGACAACTCAAGGACCGGAGAACCACCCGAAACGCCCGCTCCCGTGTTTGCGATCCGCGCCTTCAAGAGCGCCTTGTTTGGCACCCCCGGTGCCGATGACGACGTGACCGCCGACCGTACCATCAAGACAAAGCAGCCATCGGCCAATCAGCGCCTGAATGACCGGCTTTCCTTGAAGCCATCGATTGGAACCACCAGAGATGCTTCCAGGGCTACCAAAGCCGACATGGACCTGGCAATGAACGCGATGGCCTCGCCTACAAAAAGCATCCTCGTGACCCCCGGAACCGCATCCAACCGTCGAAAAACCGTCTCGTTCGGCGACAGCGTCGTCGATAACGAACGCCGACGGGACGACCAAGCCACGAAATCTTCCAAAACACCAACCTCCTCCTCCAGCAATTTCAGCAGCCAGTGGTCGGCCAACTTATCCGACGGAAAATTCAAGCCTCGCAGTAAACTCACCCAAGCCTTGATGGATTCGCGCGACAAGTCTTCCAAGAGCACGGAGCTCTTTTCGTCACAAGACGCCGAGCCCAACCCCTCATCGGAGGTCGGCACCAAGATGGCATCAACGGAAGACGACAACGACGATACCATCAACCTGAACGAGCCCCGGTCGCAGTCTGGAAAATACTGGAAGGCCGAGTTTGATAATTACCGGACCAAAACCACCTGGGAGATCAAGAAGCTCATCCAGTACCGCTCGGCCGCGAAAACGTACGCCAAAAAGAAAGATGAAGAAGCGTCGCGATTGGCCGACAAGCTGAGGGAGGAAGAGATTAAAGTCGCCGAGATGGAGCGTCACGTTACCCAACTGGCATCGACCATGGTCGGCGAGAGTCCCAATGCGGATAAAGAGAAGCTGGTGCAGGATCTCACCAAGCAGACCGCGTTAGCTTTGCAATACAAGCACCGTGTTACCTCACTACGCAAACTACTAGAACGGCACGGCGTCGTAGGAAACGAAGTCGACGATATCGCTGAGCAGTCCGAAACCGAAAGTTCTTCCGAGAAGGCTACCCAAGAGCTCCACAAGACCCAGCAGGCACTGGAGGAGGCAAAGACCAAGATCGGGGAGATGAAGCTTCAACATTCCGACTTTACCAAACTACAAGATCTCGCCCGCAGCTCTGAACAGAAGGCCTCCGAGCTGCAGAAGGAAAACGCGTCGCTCAAACAAACCCTCGCCCGGGTGAAGCAGGAGATGAGCAAATACGAGGGGCGGCGCAAGGAGAAGGAAGCCAAGCTGAAGCAGCGGGAGGCGAAACTGGAGACGCGCATCCAGGAGTATCGGGAACGCTTGAAGACGGCCTCGCAACAGCACCGCGATCACGAGGAGGACCTGAAAGAGTCCTTCAACGAGGAACGCCGTCGCATGCAGGAACAAATCGACCAGTTGAAGATCAAGCTCACCGCGATCGAGAGTCTCCCTCAAACCCAGGCGCGAGCGCGCCACTCCGACAGTCCTCGCAAGAACTACACCGGTGTCCACGTGTTCGACTTTGCGCAAAACAGCCCCCAGAAACACCTGGAAGACGACAACACTGCCGACATCGACGAGCCACCCAGCCCGAGCCCGCGGGCCAAAGAACGACGCTCCTATCCCTCTAGATACACCACAACAGGCGACCTCGACCTGAAACGAGCCATGAAAGCCATGGGCATCACCGATGAAGACCAACTCGCCTACCTTGGCGAATCCATCAAACCTCCCAAATCCCGCTACCACACTGACGATGAACAACCTACCATGCCGCCTTCCTCCCCACCCGACTACCCTCACCCACCCACCACTCGCTCACGCCCCAAACAGAAGCCTACCAACCCCGACACCTACCGCAGCCTCTACGCCCCAACCTCCACGACCATGACCTCCCTTGCGCACCACCTCGCCAACAACCTAGACGACAGCCACCGTGTCCGTCTCCGTGCCCGCCGCTCCCCCTCAAAATACAGCCTCGACGCAGTCTCCGCCCTCCCGGACTCACACGTCCTCGACCGCGCCAAGCGCCGACAAAGTCTTGCCGCCGTCGTCCCTCGGGACTCGATCCCGATGGACCGGAAGCTCCAAGCGCAAGCCCGCCTCAAGCAGCGCAAAGAGGAATCCCGCAAGGGAAAGGAGAATATGCGGGCATACACAAGCCAGCCGTTATCGGTCCTTGAACCTATCTCTTAATGATTTCTACGTCGAGGTGAAATGGAATGGATGATACACCTGAAGATCATTCTCTTGTCATGAGTAGTACCTTGTCTTGTCTACTCCTCTTTCCTTTGTCATGGAATAGGTAGTCCTGTCATTGTCATTATCACTGTCCTTGTCCTTATCCTTGTCTGTTATGGGGTCTGGTTGGTTGGTGGGTCTGGTCGGTCTGGTTTGATATGGTATGGTATGGTATGGTGCGGGATGGTATGGTACGGGTTCCTCTATCGTTGACACTGTTGTTTACTTAGCTTATTGCTCGTATGTAATCTTTAGTTCTTATTATCTATGACCTCCTTACATACTATATATTAATATAGTTTAGTTAGTATGGTCCTGTGTATGGATGATGAATGCATGATAAGTACAACTTGCTCTCCTACTCCTCGTTTTGCTATCCTTTCACTCATAGAGGTACAACGGAAACGGAGTTCTAAAGCGTCGTTCAATATATCCCAACATCTTTTGTGTGTAGGTTGTAAGTACTCCGTAGGTATGCACCATGTCTTCGACATACCCATCTAATTCTATCTAGATTCTATTCACACTCTACTTCAAGCCTTCCCATCACAGAAAGACACAACGGCCCATTTCCCACTCCAAGCCCATTTACGGGCCTCGTCGCCTCCGCCGTCGGGCAACTGACGGAGTTGTTCGTCGACGCCGGTGGGCAGACCGACCACGACGTCTGCCTTGCAGGTGCGGAAGGCCATTACGCGAACACCGGATTTCGGGCCCAACGGGCCGATGGCGGTCGTGAAGGGGGTGGTGGGGTCCCAGGTGGACTGGTCACATATGCTCGTTAGTGGATAGATCAGGGAAGGTAGAAGGAGGGTGGAGGGGGGTGCTTACGTCGTTGGTTAGCTTGCGGTAGTTGAGATCACCCTTGAACAAGACCAATTCGCTCTCTTTCAGGTCGTTGAATAGGTCTGGTGCTGTGTAGGGCATGCGCCAGTAGCCTCCTGGGGTGGTCCAGAAGGTGTGAGGGCGGATGATGAGCTTTCCTTCCTGGTGGAGGTGGCTCCAGTGGTCGAAGAGGAATTTCACCTCGGAGACTTCCTTCTCGGAGAGGGGATCGAATGTCTTGCCGGAGTCATCGGGGGCAGTGTAGAAGCCCTGGGCGTCGGAGAGGGCGTCGATGAGGGCCGCAAAGTCCGGGGGCGTCACGTCCGAGACGAACCAGGGGATCAGCTTGGGGTGGAGCACGACGGTGGTGGCGAGACCGGCGGAAAGGAGGTAGCCGGCGAGGATGAGGTCGACGAAGAGCTCGAAGCCGGAGTTGTCGAGGACAATGTCGACGCGACGTTCCTCGTTCTTGCGCTCGCGGCGGGCTTTCTGCAGGACATCGAAGGCGGCGTCGAGGTCATTGACGAGGATGTTCTTCTCCGAGGCCTTGCGGGCTTCCGAACCCTGGAGTTTCTGGATGTCCTCGTAGGTGAGGGAGGTGAGGAGGGAGAGGTCGGTGGCGTTGCCCCAGAGGCAGATCTCGCACATCTCTGAGAAGAGGATGCGGTTGGCTTGCTCAATCTGCTCGGGGTCCTTGCCCTCTGTGCCCTTCTCTGCTTCCTCCGCAAGCTCCTTGTATCGTGCGGCGAGTTCGAGGACGGCGGGACGGGACGACTTGAAGGTGGACATCTTCTGGCGGGCAAACACGTCATAGCCCTTCCAGTGCTTGGAGAGGGAGAAGAGGGTGCTCAGGCGTCTGTCTGATTGCTGTCAGTATGCTGCATGCTGTGGAGGTCAATCGCATGTACAAAGGTAGCATTCCGAGTATAGCCATGAGACGTGATGCCACGAAGGGTTTCCCCGCTGTTCCAGTTCCTTGTTGTACTCCGCAATGTCTGGCAGGCCATCCTCCGGGAGGGGACTGACACGGTCAATGACTGTCTGATCGGTCATGCTCGTAGGATGTAAAATGCTCACGTCAACTGTCTGTTATGCTGGAGCTCATATTTGAAAGCCGCGAGCTTCTCGATGATCGCTTTTCCTTCCTGGGCCTTTTCCTCGTCGGTCACGGCACCGACACTACGATGCAGGTCGTCGATCGCACCGGTCTGAAGCGACAGTTAGATAGAGCTGCAACTTGGAGTAATAATGCCTACCAGGATGACGGGCCAGCGCTCGCGGGCGGAGACCGAGGCGAAGCTGCCCTTGTCGGACGTCAGATACTGCGCTGGCGAGGGGAACGCGGGGTTAGTCGAGCGCTGCAGAGGGGCGACGTCACTCACGGGTCTGGGGGTCGTATTCCATGGTGACGGAAATTGAAATTGTATAATTATATTAGGAAGATAATGACGACTCGAGGAGTAGGAGTAGTAGGAGTCAAAAGAGAGAAGCCAAGAGTGGAAGAGATGGGATCGCGGGGTTGCTGCGGTCGGAAAGCCCCGACTCACCACCAACGCTTCTATCCAATTACTGCAACAATCAACTAGTATAAGATCACCCTACAGCCAATTCAACGCCACTAGATTGCACCTGCGGACAACTCAACAGGCAAAACATAGATGATATAGATATAATATATAGATGGTCATTCCGCTATGCAAATCCTCAAGATCGTCGTCAATCCGTCCGTAGACACATCGCCCTCGTACTGTATCCCAAGGCGTTCAGCATCATTCCGAATCCAAAATCTGGACTCCTTCCGTCCGGTGGCGAGGATTCTCGCCAATCCACCGTGTCACATAGCTGGGTAGCTCACATCATCGACATGAGGGAGCTTTGCGCATAAGCCTGGAACATGTTAGCGGTAGTTCAGTGACACATCATCTCGACTTACCATCGGCTTAATGTCCGGATGAGGCACAGCCTCAAAGACCTGGTACTCCAGCTTGAGCTCGGGCCCGATCTTGATAAAGGCACCCTTGTTCTCCGTGGTGTCACAGTACTTGGGCGCCGAGAAGACGGTGATACACCGTCCGTCGTGTTCCACTTCGTAGCCTTCCATGCGCACCTCGTGCGAGCGAATAATCGCCTCGAGGCCGTTCTTCTCACAGAACCGCTTGGTGACATCCGGGCCGAACTGCAGGCCAACACCGCGCTTGCTGGGTCCGCGACCGGGTTCGGTCTGCGGGTCCGTCCAGAGCATCTCCATCATCAAGCCCTGCTGTCCGGGCTGGCGCTGGTTGTGGCGGTTCAGCTTGCGGATGTCATCCAGCGTGGTGTTGTCGTCCGAGAACAGGCCGCCGTGCAGCACGAGGAACTTGTTGCCAATCAACGTCGCCAGGGGCAGAGCCGAGAACGACTCCGAGAAGACCTTGAACACCGTCTCGTTGTACTTGGCCTTGCACTCGCCCTCAAACCCGTACACCTTGTTCATGTCGTCCGTCTCATGGTTACCCCGGTTGAGGAAGATGCCGTTGGGGCGCAGCCACTTGTACGCGTAGAGCAGCAGCGCAATCTCCGTCGACCACGATCCACGGTCGACGAAATCACCGTTGAAGAGATAAGCATGGGTATCGCTGGGGTATCCGTTGAGGCGGAAGATCTCCAAGAGATCGAAGAATTGACCTAAACCATCAGCCCATTCCCAACACCGAACCAGACCAAAGCTGAAGACTCACCATGCGTATCACCACAAACCGTCAACCTCTTCCCCTCCTCCACCCCAATCTCCACCATCGTAGGCTCCGCATAGACCAGATCCTTAACGGCCTTGATTATTTGGAACGCATACTTGCGATGAATCTTCTTCCCGTTCTTAAACCGCTCAATCATATCATCAATAAACTCCTGTGTCATCTCCTTCTCCAACCGCACACCATCATAGCTCGCATCCACAGCCATAGAATCGATATCCAGATTCTCAAACGCAGACGGCGGATCGCCGACCTCAATCGCCTTCTCGAACTCCAACCGCCGCACGAGCTTCTCGCACTCGCTCAACTTCAGCTTCGCATCGCGGTTCCCGGGCTCCCTCTTAATCACGGCCTTGAAATCCTTCAGGGCATCCTTGTAGTGCAGAATGGCGGAATTCGCAAGGGCTCGTCTCCAGTACGCCTACACCAGTTAGCGATGCACGCCCCCCCCCCCCCCAACCCAGCAACATCAACGAACCTTGGTGTAGTTCGGGTCCAGCTCCAGCGCCTTGGAGGCATCCGCGATCGCAAAGCCATACGCCTCGAGTTTAATATGTGCCTAAGCAGCGCAGCATCAGCATCCTCACACCCAACCAACCCCCCGTGCCCGAGCCAGAGTCGGAGCCAGAGCAGTGGAGTACCACCTACCTGAGCGCGATTACTAAAAAACGACGGCTCCTGATCATACTTCTCAATGGCCTTGGTATAAAAATCTATCGCAGTGGGCCACTCATGGTCCGCAAAGGCTTTATTCCCCTGCACCTTGAGGGCAGTGGCGGCCTCTTGATCGGAAGCCATCGGCGCAGGTCTTTCGAAGGAGGGGTTTTGGCAAGAGGGCACGAGAGCTACCGCGTGATCTAACAACCGATGAGAATTTTGATTAGCTTATGCCAAGTATATATATATATATATAAGACCGAAAAGAAGAATCTGAACACAATGAAAGAAATCAGGACAAACCCACCGTTCGTTCGTTCGTTTCGTGCCTGGCTGCGCCTTCGGTCTTCTTTATCGGAGGCGACTTTGGCATTACTTGAAACTCCGTTTTCTCCGGTCTTGGCGGCGTCGCTCCGATTCGAGAACCCTCGACTGAGGCCGCATTCATCCAATCCAACACAACACACCACCTTCCTCTCACCCATTCAACACCATCACAGACCACAGAATACAAAGTACAAGTACTAGAAGAAAATGTCCTTCTACGTCGCCCCCAGCCAACAACGCACTCTCCGCGCCTGCATGGTGTGTTCCCTCGTGCAACTTCACAACGTGAGTCCTCATCCCCCAACCCAATCCCAACCCACCAACTAACCCTCATCTTCCTTTCCACGCAACAGAAATTCATGCGCGAAGGCTGCCCCAACTGCGACAACGTCCTCGGGCTCCGAGGCAACAACGACGCGATCCAAGAATGCACGTCGCAGGTATTCGAGGGGCTGGTGACGCTGCGTGATCCGACGACGAGTTGGGTTGCTAGGTGGCAGCGGTTGGATAGTTATGTGCCCGGGACTTATGCGGTTAAGGTTACGGGGTCGGTGAGTTGTACCTCCTTATCTATATCTATCTTTATGGGTTGGGGGGGGGGGGGATGGGAGGGGAGAGGAAGCGAAGGAAAGGGCTAGAATTGGACTAATGGTTGGTTGGTGGTGTAGCTTCCCGATGAGATTATTTCTAGTTTGGAGGATTCGGGGGTGAAGTATATTCCGTATGTGCATCTTTTTCTCTCTACGGTTGGGTTGTTGGTGTGGCTAACATGTGGGTGGGTGTAGGAGGGATGGTAGTACGGGCGAAGAGGAGAATTGATCGCTTCGGGTGGATAGGATTGTTGCTGGCTACCTAGGAGTATCTGCATCACGATCGGCATTACTACAGCACAGCGGTTTTATTGACAGGTATTAAGGCTGCCGGTTGCACGATGGAGTTTGGGATCTTTGTTATAATTGTACGGTATGGGTCGCTGCATTGGAGTTCATGTTTACTCGGATTAATACGAGGTATCTGTAATAGATAACTGCCTTGACGGCATCTCATAGATAAATTAACAGCTAACATAAATCGTAGTAAGGCCATACGGCTCAGATATCAGAAAGCTCCCACCCAAATCCCTAACGCCATACAGTCGCAGACTAGAGCAAAAATAACAAGACGAGCAAGCGCCTACAGCTGCTTAATGATCTTCTCAACGCTCTCCAGGAGGATATCAGCTGTAGCATGTTAGTATCACAATCGCATTAACCGGGTTCGAAGAGCTTACCGTGGTGCTTCTGGAAGACCAGCATGGGCCTCAAACGCACAGCGCTCACACCGCTTCCGCCGATGTTGACACCAACGCCCTTGGCCTTGGCCACAAACTCGTCACGCTTGGGCGTGTCCCAGGCGATGAAGGTTCCCTGGCCCTTACCACGCAGGTTCTGCAGGTGCTCGGGGTACTGCTTGGCCAGACGCTCCAGGCCGGCGAAGAGGTAGTCACCGGTAGCAGCAGTGTGCTCCACCAGGTTCAGGCGCTCGATCTCCTCAATGATGCCACGGAAGATGAGGGCACGGGCCGGGTCACCCATCCAGGTGTTGAACTGACGGTAAGGCTTGTTGGGGCGCAGAGCCGGGTTGCCGTAGTAGTAACCGGCGGTCTGGGCCTTCTTGGAGAAGGTCACCATGTCGGGAGGAGTCTCGAGGTTCCAGTGGTCGTGGGCCCAGAACTTTCCGGTGGCACCCACACCAGTCTGCACCTCATCAACGATGAAGAGGACGTTGTTGCGCTTGGTGATCTCACGGAGACCACGGAAGAAGGCCGGGGAGGCGTGGTTGTCACCACCCTCCGACTGGATGGGCTCGACGATGACAGCCGCGACGGGGTTGTGCCACTCCTTGATCAGGCGCTCAGTCTCCTGCAGGCACCGCTGCTCCTCCTGGGCGTTCTCCTGAGCGTGCTCCTCCAAGGGGTACTTCAGAGCGGGGAAGGGAGCCTGGGGCCAGTCAAAGGCGGGAATGTCAAGCTTGTGGATGGGCTTGCTGCGAGTGGTGGACAGACTGCCGAAGAGACGACCGTGGAAGGCCGACTTGAAGGACATGATGGACAGCTGAGGGGATCCGGGAGACTGGTTCTTCATGGTGGTCTCCAGCTCCTCCTCGGTGAACTCGGTCTCGGGACCGCCACGCTCACGCTGACGATAGTACATGAAAGCAGCCTTGTAGGCAGTCTCGTTGGCATCCGAGCCAGCCATGGCGGTGAACACCTGGTTAAGACCCTTGGGGGCGGCCTTGAGGATACCAGTGTTGAGGATGTCGGCCCAGTCGTGGGAGGGGAAGTTGCCCAGTGCGGGTCTGTTGATCAAGGAAGTGATCATCTCGGGAGACTCGGCCACCTTGCGGAGGTGAGGGTTGTTGTAGCCGACGGGGATAGAGGCAATCTGAGCATAGCTAGACAACTGCATTAGAACCCAAGCACATCACCACGAAGATAAACCACGGTCGAGAGGAGCTTACACATCCAGGAGCACGTTTCCGTCCAAATCGGCAATGCTGGGTCTATGTTAGTCCTGTTCGGCACTCCGCAAGGGGATGAGATGCGGGAAACTTACTAGTTACCGGTGGACTTGGTGTAGTCCGTGAGCATGTTCAAACTGCGCACATCAAAGACCTTGTCCAGCTTCTCGGCGGCAGCCTTGTTCTTGGGTCCGGGGATGGCCGTGGCCAGCTTGGGCGCGGTCGGCTCATCGGGGAAGAAAGGCTTCTCCGCAGCGCGGAGGTGCGGAGTAGTGGTGAGGGTGCGGACGGCCGACAGGCGCGTCGCCGGGCGGAGCTTCATGCTGGAGCGGAAGAGAGCTGCCATTGTGATAGAGGATGGATGAGGGGAGAGGGGACTGGTCGGATGAATTCAGGAGGCCAGACGCAAAGAAATAGCCAGCTGCGAAACAGGGATGTGGGGAAGCAATGATAACGCAATGTCGATTGATAAGGAGCCCTCGATCGACGCTCAACCGGCTGCACAGCAAATCAGCACCGATTGGATATCACGGAGGAGCAATTGGGATGAACTTGGAAAGAGAAGATCAGACCCGAGAAAAAGAAGGCCAGGCGAAGGCTTATATACGAGCGCGAGGGGGCAGCTGGAGGCAGGGAGAGCTCCCCGAATTCCATTGGAGCTGCCCCGCGGAACTGCTGCCTCGGCGATTTGCACCAATCAGCGGCCGGGCTGGCCCCGTGCTCGGCGACACCAGAAAGCCCCCCCGAGGAACATCCTTCCCAATCAGTCCGGCTGGGGCACTGATGATAATTCGGAATGATAATGAGAATTGAATGGTCCAATCAATTGATGGGAGGTACTCTTCATTGAGAATGGATTCCTGTCGCATCCGCCGTGTGCCGATGACGGTTGACGTAGTGGTCAACAACCGGATCGGCGCCAGCTTATCGGTGGCGCACGCCGGCGATAAGGCGGCCGATCTCTCGCTACCAACTCCGATGATTCACGCGGCGATTCACGCCCTCGGCGGTTGCTCGCCCACGACCAAGTGAATCAACACCCTGATTTGGCAATGCATTAGATATAACATGGTGTCAGAGCCAATCTTGTGACTGGCACATAGCATGCAGCCCTGACCCTCGATAACCAAGATATATTTTACCCGCATTGCAGGTAATGAAGATATGTACCACGCGACAGCAACATGAGGTGGCGAGCTCTTGTCAGACCAGGATGAGAAGTTACTGTGAAGTCAATTAAAGTCCCCGGCGTCTATCCAATCTTGAGAGACTACGGAGAACCAAGGTGTCAGAGACTTGACTGACTCACCTGCTGAAGGTCATATTCGGAGACAAGTATGTATCTCATCACATCAATGACCACACGTATCTACCACAGCAGTATTCAACATATCATTCCCAAGCCTTGACAGTAGTTTGAGGTACGAATTAGTTCCGCAGTGCTCAAATAGTCCAATGTAAGCATGATAATTCTAACAAATGAACCCTCCAACCCAGCAAACGAATACCAACAAGAGGAAGACCAAAGTAACCTAAAATCCCACCACAACGATAAACGAGCATCTAAATGTAAACCTTAAAGCTAAACTAGCACAAGAATAGCACCAACATAGTCCAAAAGGCCCAAGTCACTCCGCCGTCAGAGGGCACCCTCACTAGTCACCGCCGACATCTAGACCCCTACGGCCCCAACAATAATACACTAGAAACAGAAAACCAGAAAGCGGGGTATAATACCCATATTACGCTTGAATAATTTCAAATCCATCCCGCTTCGCCGGGAGCCGAGAATCTGTTCATCTCCGAGGGTATCTAGCGGGCCAGCGGTATCGGCCACTAAGGGTACACACATACAGTAGCTCCGATAGTCAACTAGTATCTATCTAGTGAGTAATAAAATTCCACTGACATACGGAGTACCCAATCTTAGAAAACTGTATTCGGAGGTCAATGGTTCTCCTGCTCAAGAGCGAGCAATATTCGACGGACCGCGGAGCATGGATCCAAGCTCCATATTAGACCTGAAGATCAAGATCTCGGGCTTTAACAAGACCGTAGGTATGCTAGCCTGCTACATAGTATGTACTGGTGTTACGAGATCAAAGCAAGCCGACGTCAGAATCTATTAGAGCATTGTTCCTGCGTTAGACGCAAGACGGATCCTAGCATAATGTAGCTAGCACGGGGCACTAGAGTAGGTCCACCACCAGCTCCGTGCGTGTCATTAATTACAAACAGAGATCGACGCAATGCCATTCGACGCATCGGCAAGCCCCTGTTTTGGGCAGGCCCGAGCCGGCTTGGAATGCGCTTGATATTTATCCATGGGGTCGGACCCAGCATCAGGCCATACTGGGCCACTGGCATGTGCGCGGAGGACTGGGTGGAGCCGAGCCCCGACGGTGGAGCGGATCGAAAGACCCACTCGTTCAATCACATGCACGGGCATGTCCCGAGGACTTGGCTTGATGTTGGTATATTCGTAACGCTTCATCTGTACAGATACATGCTACCAGTGTACATGGTGTGTATATTATACATGTTCATAATCAATCATAACCAGATGATTCAATCCAAGAAAAGAATAGAGAATGTCGGAACCCTAGACCGGGTTGTTGTGTTCATAGAAGGACTGCTCGCCCTTCGAGTCACGAGTGAGCGAAGTGGACGAGACTTCGCTGCCCGGTGACGTGTACACCACACCGTCGCTCTTGAGAGCGATGTGGTGCGTCGGCGTCGCGACGCGCGTGTGATTCGACACGACCCTGGAGTCGTTGCCGACGTGGCTGGGCCTTCTGTTTTCCGTCCACGTTTCCATTTCGACAGTGCGCAAGACCTCCATCCGGTCCACCATCGTGTCGCCTTCGTAGCCATACTGACGATCTTCGATCTTGGATACTCGGGACGGCTTGGACGGTCCAGTGGAGGACCACAGCTTCTGATCCCGACTCTTGTTGCCAAATGAAGATCCGTAGCCGCGAGCCGACGGGAGCAGATGAGGCAAAATAAAACCAATGAGAGGTCGAAGTGCAGGTGCAGAAGCGCAGATCTAGGTGCTTGGTTAGCAGAGAAACAAGCACACTCCGCCGGAATATCATACCATAGCCAGATTAATCTCAATCGATCCGGCAAGAAGGATCGGCCATCCCATCCAAGTAGTGTCGTATGATTCCATCATACTCTTCCAAACATATACCGTGCGCACGGTACCCGCAACGTTGACAAAAATACCAAGACCAAAGATGGAGATCACAGCAAGCCGCTGCCGGGCAGGTAGCTTCAGATTCCAGATCAAGGGCATAGGAAGAATGGTGCAGAGGAAGTCGGTGAAAATATTGACAGTGCTCGCAGAGAACACAGCTGCGCCATAGTTGACGCAGTGATAAGGGTACATAGGCTCCAGGTCCCAGAATGCATGGATAGGCCTAACCGAAAAGATGGTTAGGCGACGCACATACTCCGTGGGGGAAAGGTCAACTTACGTGCACTGGAAGATGCTGACCAACAAGAAGACGATACAGCACAAGGCCACAAACACCAAGGAGATAAGCAGGACAATATAGTACAGCTTGTACAGTCCCTTACTCCCAGTTCCGATAAGGCGCTTGCAAAACCACAGAACCGAGAGCTTGACGATTGAGCAGGAGAGAGAAAAGGTAAGCTGGAAAGCGAGGTTGTACTTGGTGATAATCGGAATCCAAGGCAAGGGTACATCCCAGATATGTCGATTCGCACCATAGCGCTCAGTCGCCAGAGACGTAGCAACACACATGCCGACTCCGAAAGCCTGATAGATGTTAGACAACTCCACGTATTAAACATCGTCACGGGAGGAAACATACGAAAGCGATGACAATCAGGGCGTCATCCAGACCAGGGGTACACGTGATCTTGAAACGTGTATAGAGGCGAAGGGCAGTCACAATGAATGCCAGAATGACGAGGACGATATTCACAATATTCACGGCATGCCCGCGCGTCTCAGGGTCGACGTAATTTGGCGTGGGCCATGTCGCCAGGACTTCGGGAGGTGGGAGTTGCATGATGACGATTGCAATTGGATATTAGCGAGAGTCGGCGGGATAGTTTTTCAGGTCGAAAGAATGTAGTGCTGCGGCTATTGTTGTCACGATTGTCTGATTGGATTCAAGCGCAACCATCGGCAACCCCAGTCGAGTAGTCGAAGGTCGTGTTGGCCATTATCACAATCAAATCAATCTCGGGGGTAGTGAAGCGAAAGCAGTCGTGGCCGACTGACTGTGCACGGGGCCACTGGCTGGATGTTGACAGCAGCAGGGACAAGGGGGAGCCGGGGAGATGATATACCACGACGGGCGTGTACCCACATCTGGCCTAGACATGCTGCGACATAAATGGTCCCTCCATTAACCATGGACTGGGGGGTTGATTTCTGTGTGTCATTTAGACTTTAATGGTTTTCTCCAGTGTGTTCAATTTCAGATTCAATATTCCGGCCAAACGGGAAGTGTAGTCCTCCAATCAGACTTGAAATGCAGGTCCACCGTGGGCGACATTATCCAACCGATGGCAAAGGGAGTCGCAGAACCGAGAATTGCCGGATTCCAAGCCAGCACAGGACAGAAGTGATAGGCAGACCCGGCGACCCGTCGTTCACGGTCGTCCCCACATGCCAGGGAGGCGATCTGAGTATCTCGAGCCATTGAGATGGGCCTGGTACTAGTAAGCGGGCATGTCCTTTGGTTCAAGGATCCAAGTTGGACCAGGTCCAGAAAGCCAAAATGCATAGGTTGTCTGAAATTGTGGGTTAGGGGATACTCTCGGGTCGAGCAAATCACCCGAGTCGGGACAATGGATGGGAAGAGGGATGAGGCTGGCCGAGTTGGGGAGAAGCCAATCGAGTTATTTCGGTCTCTCAGACAGCGAACGTGAGAGATGATCGAGGAGCAAAGGATTTGAGCTCCACCATCTAATTTCAGGTGGAGTGGCCTCGACTCCAAGGAGCGGCCCATTGACCAGGACCGATGTACGGAGTGAGATGGCGCCAGCTAAGAGGAGGAGAAGAAGGACTAAGGAAAGGATCAAGGAAAGGAAGAGCGGCGGGGGACCCCACCCGGAAGCCAATCCTATCTGGTGATTAGTCCAAGACTCCCAAACCAACTCGTGCGAGAGCTTGGCCGCTTTCGGAAGGACACCAGATTGCCCCGCACGATAGCCCGACCGGCTTTTTCCCCTCACAAAAGCATCGGCCTGCCGGGTGTGAATTATCGGTGGTCATGGGCGATCATGGGTGGTGGTAACAGCCCTATAGGAACAGAGTACGGGAATCATCTCCCCTGCATGGGAATGGCATGCTATCTGCAGTTCTGCATGTGGTGGACGATGTTTTGCATGAGATGGGGATGCTGAATGACCCCGAGTCATAGTCCGTCCTATTGCGGTAATGATGGGTGCTGCTGTGGCCTGGCTGACAAAACTTTTTACCGCAAAAAATTTCAAATACGAAATTGAGCTCCTCCATTCAGATCGGCTTTACTGTCAATGCGTGTTTAGGTAGGCAGCAGCAGCAGCAGATGGCTGCACGTTCCTGACTACTCCTGACTACTCCAATTGTGTGATGATCATCCGAAGTTCCTTGGAGGTTGATGTCATCATCTGGTGTCATCGATCGTGCCAGTCATCGAAGCCATTGGGATAAACTCGAGCAACCATTCCTCCCTGCCACTATTGCTTGGATGGTCACAGTATCCGTCAGGACATTGGCTGGAACTTCAACCGACAGCTCATTCCATGGTCGGTCTAGAGATTACAATCTCAGAGCTGCCTCTCAGTTCATACCTTGCTTAGTAGTAAGGCAAGAAAAACACCTTCACTTCCCAAATGGGCTAAAGCTGACGTTCCCATCAAGTAACTGATTCAAGTTGGGATGGGTGATGCCAATAGTCAGTGACAATCGCCCATCAGAAAGGACCTATCTTGACGGGGTGATCCTCCCGTGACGGGCCCGAATTCCAAAAAGCGCCAAAGCCCAAGGCGACCAGATGGCGATCTTTACCAACTATGGGGGGTCCTCATTACCCGTTCTTGATGGAGCCAATACTTTCGCCATCACGTTCAACAGCGGATTGGGTATCCGAATAGTGCCATGATCGACGGGGTTCCGTGGGTACGCCTCTAGGCATTAGGCAACCCTGACTGGACTCGTTCCATGGTCCCTCGTGGCTATATATCGGAATAAACTCGCAAAAGCAATAAAGTTCAATATCATTGTCCATCTCCCCTGTGTCCCCTGGTCAGGGCTGTACAGATGCTTCCATGCATTCCTTCCTCCCCGTTCCGCCGCTTAGCCGTTTGGGCGGCCAACCGCTGGCTCCCGCCCCATAATTCAGACTAGCCACAAACTTTATTGCCCGGGCCCAGCCATGATCGCCGCCTGGCACGATTCCTCACGCCTAAGTTGAGGATCATCGGAGCTGACCCAAGTTCACAGAGAAAACTTTGACTGTGCGTGCGCATCTTCGTTGGCATCTCCATGATCTATCAGACTGCCAGCTCTCCACCAGGAAATCAGGGTGGCCCCTGGTTTACATCCGTATCTCCGATAGATGCGTCATGACTCAGGACTTTACTGTCAGGGTCCGCGGAGATCAATCCCCAGGCTTTAGAATAGCTTTTACGGGCTCACCATGTCGGAGAGCACTGAGTAGACTGCCAGACAGGTCTTGATGTGGATGCGACACCCGACGGCCCACCGTTCATGAAGCACCGTGTTGTTTCAGCTGCATGCCTAGACTCACTCCTAAACAAACACCAGGCCGCATGTGTGCCAAACGGATATAAAACGTGTTCGAAACCCGCAATCTACGCCCCATAGTAGATTACCTGAGTCTCTACGGAGTATCAATATTGACTTCTGTGCCTTGACCAACAAGCTTTACCAGCAGAATGGTTAAGGACATCTCCTCGCCACCTCAACCAAAAGCCCGGCAATCAACACCCGGTACAACTGCCAGCACCCCGGTTTAGACTTCAGATAATTCTTTCTTCAACCAAGTAACCAGGGTGATGTGCCTCTCTGTACCACGCTCGACAGTTCCTCCGATGCCAAATATTAGACTTGCTGCTTGTAGGCGTTGCCACCAAAGTCAGCTTGACTGTCATCTCCTCGATCTCGATAATGCGAATGAGGGGTTGATTATGTACTCTTGCCTAATGCGGTTTCTGAAGGATCTGGTCTGAAAATTGGGTCGGCTTTCCCCCAACGGCATGTCGTTTCTGGCCCCGAACCTTATCGGGATAATGGGGTACATAGCAGTCGCCCGGACCCTGACATCTTGGCAGGGCCCTGATTATTTAATAAAGGAACACCATCGACTCTAGTGGGCAATAGTAGCATAGGGACCTCTATCTAGAAGCTGTATATTGCTTTTTCTCCGTTGAACCCTGCACCCACGTGCTGCCGGTTTGATATCGATCGACTAGTACTATCAGGGGGTTTAATTGGAGGGTGGCAAACCAGGAACTTGTGTAACAGTGGCTTAATGAGGTCTTCTTCTCCAGTAGGGGGGTTTATAGGGCTGATCTTTATGCTGATTCTTGGTATACAAAACTGCTGGAGATGTGGTTAGCCCCTTTACAGTATGCTGGTGTTGCTCCATTGTTATTCTACCTGGACTAAGGCCACCTGTGACCAAAGCACTTGTGCTCATTCGCTGCTATTCTGTAGTGATAACACTGCAGCCCCCGTTGACTTGACATGCATTCTCACAACCTACTACAAGTAACCCAAGAGCAATACCATACCGGCTCAGCTTTCAGCTACCTCAGTCTGAACAAACAAAGCCTCCCACTTAGTGAACCTCTCAAACCCAACAAACCCACCAGTTTCACCGTTTAAAATAGAAACAACATCATAGTTTCAACCATGAAACAACTGACAATCCTACGATCTTGAACAACAGTATCAACCGGCAACAATCCCTCGCGTAGAGCGCACCATATGCTGCTGAAACGAGGATCTAACATGTGATACAGACTAGCCGAGCTCGAGCTGCCGATCTATCTACCCAGGAGATTGTTTCCTGAGCTTTAGACTGGTGTTTTGTACAGTGATCCAATATGCTCCATGTAGCTTTCTCTGTTTGTGGTATGGTTTCTGACGGATCCCACGTGTATTGTTACTTGGCTGTGTTATGACGGACATCTGCCGAGGGGTGGGAATGATGTGTTTTGTGTGGAGGAGGATGGTTTCGGGGAGGACTGCATTCTGTGTTTCTTCGTATGTAGGCTGTCACCTGATCTTTTGTTTTGTTTTTGTCATCTTGTGTGGTGATACTTCGTCTCCAAGGCACCATCTGTCCTCTACGTAAGTTATTCTCCAACTCTTATGTGGATTTGCACATAGCCCCATTCCATCACTTTCAACTCCTCACTATCGCTTTCACGCTCTTCATCCCAGCTACGCACCTACTAATGCACATATCTTGTCCTCGTCACCTCAAACTGGGAAAGCCGGGAGTCGCATATTCCTCCAATCAAGTCAGTCACGATGTCATGCCTATTGGAGACGACATTCCACATGCAACCAGACACAGAAACTCGAGCTTTCTACAATACATTCCATCCGTCTGATGATACAAATAATCGGAGACCGCTCGTATGGTACGGATTGTAAAATTCACATAAGCTACCTTTTGTTTACCCGTGGATTTCTATCGGTTGGCAACCAAGGACTGGTCACCACCGAGCTGTAGCTTGTGGTCTAGGTGGTAAGTCGTGTGACTGCTTATAGTTTTTCCCTCTAACTTTTTATTCTACCCTTGCCTACCTGCAAGAGAAGCCTTGGTCGGATTTGCTCATGAGCTTACTGATCTTTGAAGTCTCTGAGTCATTGATTGTGTATAAATGCGTCTTTTAGGTTTCCACCAGGTAACTAGAGATATATAGTGTTGGAGTGAGTTAACTGCTCAACCCTCCATTCGAAGTCTCCCCACTCACGGAGTTATGCAGGCGAGCACGAATATGAAATCAAACGCCATCAAGTACATCACCAGGCGTACACGGAGAAGTCGACGACCAATGAAAAGCAGCTTACATGTGGTGCCGTGACAGAACGTCACAAGGTAAGACTTTATATAAATACAACGACTGAAGACCTTCTTTGAGATATAGAGGATATATGTTGCGGGCACGGTATTGTGCCTCAAGGTTTTGGCCCGGACATTTGATCTTAAATATCACGGAGGTACTTAGACGACATAGTATTTACTCTAAGAGTCTTTCATCTAGTATATCATATATAGTGGTTAAGATTGTGCCAGCGTTCAGAGGATCCTTCTTATAAGGACCATAGCACAAACAACTAAGAGATTCTAGGCCTAAAGGCTCGAGGTATTCGCATAGCTTATCAATAAGATAAAAACCATAGCATGGCGATGGCCATATCTTGTCAGCAAAAGCAATGTTGAGTTGATTGTTAGTTTATTTGTTCGGTGGAAATTAGCGAATCCAGGTGAGGCCTGAACGAGCAGGGGCTTTGCTGAACTACAACAGGCAGGTCAAGGTACGGTAGAGAGATGATATAGATCATCCCTAACTGGATATTATATGCACAGCAGGATCATATGTAGGAGAGGTATATCATTTATAACAAATTCACGGACACCGTCAACACCACCATCACGACGGCTACTACTACTACTACTACTACTACTACTACTACTACTACTACTACTACTACTACTACTACTACTACTACTACTACTACTACTACTACTACTACT